TAACGCGTGTGGTCGTCGACTACCAGCAGGAAGTACCGCTCGTGGCCATGTCCACCGACGCGGGCTGGGCCCCACACGTCCAGGTGGAGAGTCTGCAGGGGAGCCTCTGTGGGAGGGAACGAGGAGGATTGAGGAGCGGCGCGCTGCCGCCCCTTGACACAGGGAAGACAGGGAGGAGCAGGCGAGGGTGGTAGAGGAGGCAGAGTCTCTGGAAGTCCAGAGACAAGGAAACGGCGGTGCATGCTACGAAGGCGCTGCACCGAGGGGTGACCAAGGCGGTGGTGCCAAAGGAGGGTCTGGTGCGACAAAGCGCGACACGAGCAGGGGGCCGCTAGCTGACCTGACGCAAACGCAGACGCAGACGCAGCTACCTGAGGGGACACAGTGGTCAGTGTGTACAGACTCGAGCCAGGCTCTCGGGTGAACGTGGCCAGGTGCCGACCAGTCCGGGAGCACGTACAGTGGGTCACACGCTGACCTCCAGGGGTGAACTGGTCAACCCACACATCCTGTAGGTCAGCTCCACTCACCAAGTTCGTAGAGAACGAGGGGAGGTGAAGACCTGACAGGGAGCCAGACGGGATCGCCGGACACGGCAGGACCGTGGAGGAGTGCGCAAGGACTGGACCCCCAGAGGGGTCTGCCAGGGAGACTGCAACCGGCCGACGAAGCGGCGTGAGGGTGGTGCTGTCGCGAAAGAAGGAGCGGGAAGCACCTGAGTCAAGTGTGAAGGTGTACAAGGCCTCAGCAGGCGCAGTACCAGAGAGAGCAGACTCACCAGTACCTGGAGCAGCAGCCTCACCAGCACCTAGCTCAGGAGACGCACCAGCACCTAGAGCAGAAGCCTCACCAGCACCTAGCGCAGGAGACACACTAGCACCTAGAGCAGCAGCCTCACCAGCACCTAGGGCAGCAGGCTCTATACCTGGGTCAGGCGGTACGCACAGGGAACAGGCACGGTCAGCACTAGTAGGCAATGCATACATGGCAGTGAGAATAGCATCATAGTCAAGAGCAAAGATATCTACCCTCTGCCCAAGCAGCTCCAGCCAGGAGGGGAGCTCAGCCTCGTCGCCAAACTCGGTACGCCAGGCGTCGCTCAGACGGGCGAAGCAGCGGGACTGTGTGTGACCAAGCGTCTCGCAAGCCTGACCGGTCCGAGCACCTGTGCGAATGACGTACGGGCAGCGAACGGTACTCAAAGACCCTCTACTCTGAGCGTACCACTCGTGAAGCTGCTGGGACGTAAGTGTCTCGCGTGGACGCCGCTGCAGCTGCAGCTGGCCACTGCCAGACGCTCCCAACTGACCAGCTCCAGGGCGACAGCTACGACGGCGACCGCCACAGCCCCAACTAGCGTACCACTCACTAAGCTGCTAGGGCGTGAGAGACTCACGTGAACGTCGCTGGAGCTGCATCTGGCCACCGCCAGTAGCAGCAGCAGCAGCAGCAGCAGCAGCAGCAGTCTAGCAGTAGTAGTAGCGCGGGCAGGGCAGGCGCGGCAGGCAGGCAGGTAGGTGGTCACCAGTGGCGAGAAGGGCAGGCGCACGACGGCGGCGACGGCGGGGCCGCGACAGCTGCGGCAAAGCAGGACCGTGTCGGAGGTAGGGCAGGTCCGCGACAGCTGCTGCAGGGCGGGGACGTGACGGCGGCAGAAGGCTCCGCGCCAGCTGCTGCAGGGCAGGGCCTCGACGGCGGCAGGAGGCTCCGCGGGAGCTGCTGTAGGGCGGGGCCGCTACTGTGGCAGGGCGCTCCGTGGCAGCTGCTGCAGGAGTGATGGCGGCGTCCAGGGGCAGCCGCGGCGCGCGAGGCTGCAGCGCGCTACGCGAGCCGCGGGCGCGGCGCGCGAAGCCGCCGCGGGCTGCGCGAGGACGGCAGCCGCGGCGCGCGGGGCTGCAGCGCGACGCGCGGGCAGCGAGCGCGACGCGCGGGGCTGCAGCGCGACGCGCGGGCAGCGGACGCGACGCGTGGGGCTGCAGCGCGACGCACGGGTTGTGGGCGCGTCTCGCGGGGCTGCAGCGCGACGCGCGGGCTGTGGGCGCGACGCGCGGGGCAGCGACCTGGCGGGGCGGCGCCCTGGCCTGACGGGCCTGCAGGGGCGGCTCGCAGGCGTGACGTGTCTGCAGGTGCGGCGCGTGGGCCTTACGGGCCTGCAGGGGCGGCGCTCTGGCCTAGGGCAGCAGTAGGCAGCACGAGGGCTGCGTGACGGCGCGCGCAGCGCAGCACGTCACAAGGCAAGGCAGGCAGGCAGGCCAACACGTGGGGTAACGCGGTAACCGCAAGGGTAGGTGGGCCCGAAAAAAAAAACGGTCCTACGGACCTAGTGCTCTGAAACCATGTCAGAATCTAGCAGCATGAATGATTGAACTATGAAAGAGTTGGGTACAAGTATGAAACCCTAAAAGGGGCTATACTCCATATTGGCTACCCCACTACAGCCTACACATATATAACATGCATATACTTTGACAGAAGATTTCCACCAGGGACTGCAAAGCATGTTGAAGAGCAGAGATGGCGACGCAGCTATCCGAACCTGATGACACTGTGGCAGGCACTCGCTGTGCTGCCACTGAGCACAGTTGAGTGCGAGAGAGGATTCAGTCGCCATAACATCATCATAAGCTGGATGCGCACATCGCTGTGCGATGCACGCCTTGGGGACCTCATGACGCTGTACATGCTTAAGTACCCGTACGTTTGGCCAGATGTGGTGGATCTCTGGCGCAAGCAGAAAACTAGAAGACTGGCGAAATCGATTGCGCCTGCCAAGCCCTTGGATCGGAGGGGGAAAGAGAAGGTGCCAGAGCCAGAAGACGATAGTGACCGGGAGAAAAACCCTTGTGCCTTGTCTGATGATGAATGAAAATATTATTGTGTGCTTTTATATAACAACAAAACATCAGGGTTTTAAAAAATGTCACACTGATGCCTTAGGGTAAAATTTTCAAAACTTGCCTGAACCCTGACGCAAAATATTTTTCCAAAGGGGCAACACTGATAATCAGGAATTTGCACAGGTGCAGCACGGATCACAAGGGTTCCCCCCCAAAAAAAATTAGCCCTAATCCTCACCACAATTCACTAGAATTTTGTGCTCCTCTCTGGTGTTGGGAAAAAATTCAGGTACTGTACAAGAATTTGTAGATAAAATAATTCACATATCAGATTGCAATATATATTATCATCCCACCTTGTATGACGTAATTATTTATTCCATAATCAGATATCATCAATAATAACATTTACAGGTATTCTTGGTGTGTAACTTGATTACCTCATGTGGATAAGAGGTCCGAAGTGCATCGCAGGATTGCTGCTTCTCGGTGCATATGTCCCGGATGTCATCTTGCCGCGTATGTCAGAATACGAATGGAGCACATGGCACAGTGGCCAATGGTGGCGCCAAGTTCTGTCAGCGCGACGAGGAATCCCGCACTGACAGGTCGAAGAGCCTGCTTTTCCTGATCGAATGGGTTCGTTCGCACGTCCACTTTTGAGGCGCTGCTGGCGACTTGTCTGACGACTTTTGAAACCTCGGGGTCGCCGTCGACCTGAGTTTCACGAAAAGTAGCTCCCGTCGCACATATTCGAGAACTCTGTGCATCCCTGGCGACAATCTGACGACCGTGGAGGGAAGCCTCAATTGAGCCTTGCGATGCGATGACCATCAAGGTCTTGCGACAGATTCGCTTCGCAGGCAAGCCCATCAGTTCTTCCCCACCCAACCCCATCCCAGTCCATTTGAGGCACTGCATCTAGCTTCCTAGATTCTACCATCTCCGCACTTCTAGTCACCAACTAGTCGATTCACACACATCTTCACATAATAATCTGGTGCCATTTGAAGTCGCTACTCCATTCTCCTGTCATAGTTTCTCCGCGGCATTTACCCTAGCTGGTCGACAGGGCTATCGTCATCATGCCGCAGATCCAGTATTCTGAGAAGTATTTCGACGACATCTACGAGTACAGGTATCCAACATGTTTCCGCTGGTCATCCAACCTAGCGCAGGACAGCAGCCAAACTAGCAGTCCATGGTCCTGAAACTAAACGTTTCGTTATGTCGGGTGCCTCTTGCAGGCATGTAGTTCTCCCCCCTGATGTGGCGAAGCTACTTCCGAAGAACAGGCTGTTGTCCGAGGTAATTATCGTCATTGGCTTGCGGATTGCAAAATAAGCATGCATGATCAAAGAGTTCCAACCTGACAGCTTTGTTTGTCATCTGATGTTGACTGTGTGCAGGCTGAATGGAGGAGCATTGGCGTGCAGCAATCTAGAGGATGGGTTCACTACGCTATCCACCGCCCCGAGCCTCACATCATGCTTTTCCGTCGGCCACTGAACTATGGACAGCAGGTTCCTCCGGCGACGCAGCAACTTCAGCAGCAAGTAGGAGCATAAGATGGTTGGTGCAGAGGATCTGACAAAACAAGCGTCGTGACTGCTCAGTCGCCAAGCAGCCTCCTCAGCAGCTTGTGTCATAGAAAACACATCTGTCAATACTCAACGCCTAGTTGCGGTTCTATTTCTTTTTATTCTGTATGGAGCGGCACTAGTACCTGTCAATCCGCTATCAACTATATTATTAAGGACGAAGGAATATCTTACATGCTTGGTATGCTTAGCGGCCAAGCAGTTCTGTACTAGCTGCTCTTATAATTTGAGGGTTCTCTTATGATTTGAGGCTTCTCTTCTCTTATAATGTGTTGTAGTAACAAGGACATATTGGACCCACTACGGTCACTTCAGGAAGCATTTGTAGAATGTTGACACATTACTGATGGATAGATTGACAGCCAGCAGCTTGTCTGTGGGTGTATTACCGGTATGTCTAGCAAAACACTCCAGCATTGTCTGTTTGCATCAGATGACCTCCCAACGCAGTCTAGGGGTGCATACTGGTGAGGAACAGGAAGAAGAGTACACGAAGTCCTGTTGACACCTGCTAACACCATCTTCATATCATAACAAAATCCCATTATGACACAAAGGCCCCTCAAAGCAACTGTACAGCAGCAATAGACGGAATTTTCTCCCGCAGCTTCTGCGTGACAGCCACCCTGACAGTCATCACTCCTGCTGCGGGTCCGTCAATCCTGACCTTCACAATCGGCGGATCAATCTTCACAAGAGTCAGCTCCCCACCACCCGTTCCCACCAAGTATGGCCTGATTTCGGACAGAACCTGAAAGGAGGAAATGAAACAATCAGTACAACTTCCTGAACAAACAACACACCATTCATCAGGTCAGCGTGACACATCAGCGTAAAAAACACTCACCTTTTCCACGTTCTCCTCGTCCAGTGGAAGGCCCGTCTCCTGGTCCGTGATTTGCTCAACGGAGACTATCTCTGGAATCTTCTCCATCAGCCTCCGTTCGATCCCCATCTTCATGGTCATTGTGGAACTCGGGCACGAGCCACACGCACCCTGAAGCCGCAGCTTCACGACGAGACCGTCAATGTCGTACAATTCCACATTGCCGCCGTCCGCCATCAAGTACGGTCGAACCTCGTCAAGAACCTTCTCGACGTTTTCCTCAGTCAGCTCCAAGCCCTCGGTAGAGACATCGCCTTGTGAAGCAAGAGCGGCTGCTGCGAGACATGAAAGCGACGATGCTAAGTTTCTCCGGCTAATTGACATAGTGTGTTATCAAGTTACTACGACTCTCTCTATTTGTGAGAGCCTACGTGAGCGTACCTGTAGGTTCTCTTCTGGAGTACCTCTGCTCCCCAATAATCTCCGCGTTTCTAAGAGGTGCAGCACGAAACTGCATGGTAGAAACGATTTTCGTCATGAGCTCTAGAAACAAGTTGAAGAAACGACTGAAAATGACGTGACCCACGAGTTAAGCCTCACCTGGCGACCTAGACGTGATGGAGCGGTTGCTGAACTGACTAGTGTCGATGCTTCCCTGACGACGCCACTGTATGGAGCGAGACGAAGCGAGATAGTTGCCATGGTTCAACGGAACTTCGATAAGAAAGAATCGGCTAACTGCGTCAACAGAATTTTACCCACTCCACCACACAATTTTCAGCAGCTCCTAAGAAAAAGAGCAGACTGTAATTGTGTAATTGCTGTATTTGCGCTTCTAATCAATCTGCTTAAAGACCGACGACCCTCCGTCCACGCCGTTCACGCAACGTTGGGCGTCTCGCTCCACACCAGTCACCCAAGGACTCTGCTGAGGTCACGGAACGGAAGGCTGAGCACACAGCTGTATGGCTGGACTGGGATAGCTTGGGGGGGAGTGTGCGAGCTAGGGGTACGTACGAGAGGGAAGGGTTTGTGGCGTGGTTGTAGGGGACGGAAGGAGTTGGGGGGGGAATGGGGGGTATCTTGGAGGAGGAACTTGTGACCTGCACGAGACCGGCTTCTTGGCTGCCGTGCGATTCAAACATGCTCGGGAAAAGGCAATGTCGGCTCCGGTGTGGTTATGACACTTGGCGCAACCAGGTGACGTGGCAGTTGTCGGCACTGCTCAGGAGTGCTATTTGCGAGTGGCTGTGTTCGTGTACGAAGCAACACTGAATCGATTAGTGCAGACAACGAAAATATATGCAGCTACGGTACTACGAACATACATCTACTATTATTTGAAGGCTTCCATCATACAAACAGCACTCATTGAGGGCTGACAGAACGCATAACGCATCAGTCAAATTCAAGCATTCCCTGGTCCTTTTGAAAGCCTGCGAGATCGTCTGGTTGGAGCCACTTCCCAACCGTCGGCCACCTCCTCTTGTGTCAGCAATGGCTCCGGAGGAGTTTCTTTAGCAGCTCGACGCGAACCCGAACCCGATGCTCCCATCCCAGCACCCCTTCCTGGCGCATCTTCATCCATGGCTCCTCCGTTCCCCACTTCCTCCACATCAGAATCACTGTCGTCGCTGTCGGCATTGCGATTTGCCTGTGAGAACGCAAACAGCACACAGGAAAAAGAAAAAAAAAAACAATAAAAAAAATAATTAAACAACCAAAACTAATTCTTTTGACTGTACCATCTACTACATTCATATCCTCTCCTCTGCCAGTGCTAAGATCCTGCCCACACTGACTCACCGCTTTGCTCTGCTGCAGTGCCGCTCGCCTTCCCTTGGCAGCAGAGGCTGCTTCCTCTGCCTGCAGCTGCTGCTCAAGCATGAAGCTCACCGCCCTGCCAATGCTCACTTACCACCCTGCCCACAATGACTCACCACTTTGCTCTGCTGCAGTGCCGCTCGCCTTCCCTTGGCAGCAGCGGCTGCTTCCTCTGCCTGCAGCTGCTGCACGAGCGTGAAGTTGCCATCCCGACACACCTTGAACACTTCAACTACCTTGTCTGCCACCTGTGGGAAAGAGGGGGCCAAGTGCGAGACACATATTGAGGCGCCTAAAATCCTTCCTCTGCCTGCAGCTGCTGCAGCCATCTCGACACGCCCTGAACACCTCAACTACGTTGTCTGCCACCTGCAGGAGGGGGGATGGAAGAGAGAAACGAGGGGAGATTGAGAAACGAGGAAGATGGCAGCAGACGGGATAAGTTTATGAAATCAACACAAAGACTGCCCACTTCTTCACCCAGACCTCCTTTGAGACACGTCAATCAGCATCCACTAATTTGAGGCAGCTACACGCGCAAAGCACAGCCGGCATCTGCTCGGCTTGCTTCACCTTTCACCTTATCTCCACTCCTCCCACTCCCCTCCCCATGCGTTTCCTTCACGCCAAATTGCTTCCCTCATCAGGTTCCTCGCAATCACCTGGCAACTGCGTCCCTAGTATGTGACCAGTGCAGTGCAGCTGTTATCTAAGATTTTCCATCCAGCATCAATTCTCCTCCGCCTTCCTGTGTCTCCCTCACTCACCTCTCTCACCTCTCTCAGGCTTCCATGCTCCATCTCCACGTTGAAATCCCTAAAACGTGCAGCTGCACTGCACCCTACCTGCTGTCCACATATCGATCCTCCTCTCACCTCTCTGAGGCTCCCATCCTCCACCTCCATGTTGAGTCCCTCCTCACTGCTGTCGAACTCCCTGGTCCGCGCACTCTCTAAGTGAACCCCCCTATTGTCCTCTCACCTCTCTGAGGCTCCCATCCTCCACCTCCATGTTGAAGTCTCTCACTGCATGTAGATGTCGCTAGTTACCGTACTGCAGCACCTGCACCCACCGATTCTTCATTCAAACATGAACCCTCCTCTCTCACCTCTCTGAGGCTCCCATCCTCCACTTCCATGTTGAAGTCCCTCACGGTCGCCTCGTCCAGCCACTCCTCCAGCTCGTCCGCGTACACCGCTCCTGGTACACTCACCACAGTAACGAGAAACAAGAAATAAAAAATATTATATATATAATATAGAAAACAGATAATGTCTCCCACGAACTTCACGTTTTTCAGCCTGGTTGCCAAAAGCGGTGATGCTACTGCACTGTGCAAGTCGACGTAGGAACTAATTGGCAGTTTATCCACCTTAAATATTATCTTCCCATAACGGCCTAATACTCCCCTCCCTCCTCCCCCATCCCCATTTCCCCTTCCCCCTTTCCCCCCCGCCCCCCATCACTTACCGCGCTTGCTGTAGCAGAAATGCACCAGGTCCGCCTGCATGTGTTGCGCCTTCTCCGCGCTCCTTCCGCCGCCCCACTGATTCTCCAGCGCCAGCTGCAGCGCGGTCCAGCGGGCAAACACCAGGCGCACGCCCTCGCGGAACCACCCGTCCGCGTGCTGCTCCGCCGCCGTTATGGGGACGGGCACGGGGCCGGGGAGAATCGCTCCGCTGCGCAGCTCCATGGTCGGGGGAAGATGGCGCGCAAAAGGGGAGGATGCGCGGAATAACGCTGCGCTGGGGAAATTCGCGCGGAAGGAGTTGCGCGGAAATAGTATTCACGGGCAATGGTGCTCGCGGAAAAGGCGCGGAGAAACATATTTTTGCCGAGTAAGAAAGTGGGAATGACAGGAGAAGCGCAAGGGGAGAGGGGATTAGCGGAGGGGTTGAGTTGGGTTGGAGGGTGACAAAGCTGACTGGTTGGTTGGGTTGGTTTTCTCTGGAAGTTTTCTCGTACATACATATTTTTGCCGAGTATACAATTTTCCTACGCTCTTAAAGCTGTGGTCTACCTACTTCGAGGGGTTTTGGGGGGTATTTGGAGTGTTAACCCTTTGGCGTGTGTTCATTGGATTGCGAAGTGAATGCTTTTCTCAATCACCAGTGCGATGAACCAGAACAAGGGTGGCGAGCCCAACCACATTTCGTGAGAGGGTTGGGTTGGGGGAAGGAATGGCGGAGAAGGTTGGAAGAGGGGGAAGAAAGGGCGGAGGGGAAGGAACAGCAGCGCGTAACCTGACACACCAAGTACTAAACGTCTGTATTTTCACATCGACCCCCTCGACTAGGACCTACTTACTAACCTATCATCACACGCATGCAAGCCTAAACCAGCACGATCCGCGCTAAATAAACTAGGCGACTGTGGCGAACAGAGCACAGCAGGTTTCGAAGGTGCAGTGTCGACAAGGCGCGCAGGCTGATGTGTTACAGGGGAAGTGTCTCCAGCGTGAGCTCCCTACTTCCAACGACGGTAGCAGAAGGAGCGCCATACTGATATATAGCTGCTTCTCGTTCAGTATATATCGTTACGAATCGTTCCCGCTCACTTCCGCCTCTGCTCCTCCCTCCATACCAAACCGTCTGTCCGTTTACGCTCTCCGCAGCTTTCCGCGACGTGCGAGCGTCGACTCGTCCAGGCGACGAAATGAGTGCCGCTCGCCTTCCCGCGCTCCTCGCGCTCGCGCTCCCGCTGCTGCGGCTGCTGCTCGTCGCCAGCCTGCTGGTTACCCCGCTGCGCGCCGAGGACGGCGACGCCATTCTTGATAAGAGAGAATGACGCTCGGTCAGAATGACGAACGGCGGAGAGGGGGGGCGGAGTGAATGCTGCGCGCCAATTGACGGGCAGCGTCGATTGACGAGCAGCAGCTTGTCGGGCGGCGCGCCGAAGACTGACGGATTTCTCGATCAGGTGAGGGGCGAGAGTGACGAGGAGCGCGTGGGGGGTGAGGGCAGAGGGGGGTGAACTCTGCGCGCCTAGGAGGACCACGCGGGGCAGCGCCGCGCGGGGGAATGCTGCGCCGCGCGGGGGAATGCTGCGCCGCGCGGGGGAATGCTGCGCCGTGCGGGGGAATGCTGCGCCGTGCGGGGGAATGCTGCGCCGCGCGGGGGAATGCCGCGTGCGGTAGACGGTTGTACTCATTCACACGCATACCTTTCCCCATCCCCCCCCTCGCTTCATTCAAGTCCCTTCCCTTGGCGTCCCCTCTGGCTGCGCGGGTTTTGAGACATCTCAAGCATCTCCTCTCCTCTCCTCTCCTCTCCTCTCCTCTCCTCTCCTCTCCTCTCCTCTCACTGCCTCTCCTCTCACTGCCTCTCCTCCCCGCACCCATCCTTTCCTCCCCGCTTTCATCCCCGCTCCCATCCTTTCATCCCCGCTCCCATCCTTTCCTCCCCGCTCCCATCCTTTCATCCCCGCTCCCATCCTTTCCTCCCCGCTCCCATCCTTTCCTCCCCGCTCTCGTCCTTTCCTCCCCGCTCTCGTCCTTTCCTCCCTGCTCTCGTCCTTTCCTCCCCGCTCTCGTCCTTTCCTCCCCGCTCTCGTCCTTTCCTCTCCCCTCTCATCCTTCACCATAGCGCTCTCACCCTAAGCCCTCCCTCAGCTCATTCCAGCTCCTCCCGTCCCTGTCCCCCTTCTTCCCCTCATGTCCCCCGCTCCTTCCCCCCTTTTTCCCCCTCCATGCCCTCATTCCCATTCCTCCTTCCCCTCATTTCACCCTTTTCTTCCCCATTTCCCCACTGCTTCCCTTTGATTTCCCCGCTCCCCCCTTCCGCCACCTGCTTCTGCAGCGTGGTCACCGCCACGGAACCGCCATCTGCACGTTTGACGAGGTGCGCGAGATGCGCCCATTCATGCGCCATCCCTCCGAGCCCTGCCTCGCCGCCCTCCGGTAGTGGTGAGTGCGGGCGTTGTGATTGAGTCTGCATTACTCCCGTGGCAGCAGCGTGGGTGCGAGACGCAGACTCTCTCCCCCCTGTCCTCCTCTCTCCCCCCTGTCCTCCTCTCTCCCCCCTGTCCTCCTCTCTCCCCCCTGTCCTCCTCTCTCCCCCCTGTCCTCCTCTCTCCCTCCATCCCCCCGTTTCCCTTCCCCCAGCTTCCCTTCCCCCCACTTCCCATCCCCCCTTTTTCCCGTCCCCCCATTTCCCTTCCCCCCGTTTCCCTTACCCCCATTTCCCTCTCCCCCATTTCCCTTCCCCTCATTACCCTTCCCCCATTTCCCTTCCCCCTGCTTCCCTTATCTCCGTTTTTCTTCCTCCTGTTTCCCTTCGCCCCATTTCCTACACCTGACGAATATTGGCCCTTGCAACCTGTTCCCCTTCTTTTTCCCCTTCTTTTCCCCTTCCTTTCCCTTTGCTTTCCTTATGCCCAGGCTATTGCTCTGCCACTCTCCTCTTTTCCCCGCGTCCTCGGCTAAGTGTGCTGTGCAGGCTGCAGCAGGGCAGCGGGGCGCCATGTAGAGGAGCGCCCTGCAACCACACGCGCCATAGGGCGACATGGCACCACACGCGACATGGCACTCTCTATTCGCCCTGCCACCACACACCCCACTCATCCACCCCTCCTTCCCTCCTGCATGGGCCTCCGACTTGCTGATGCAGCTGGGGTGACTGCAGCAACATGAGCTCCACATGGGCTCTCACCACTCAGCAGGAGCTAATCAGCCGACATGTGTGCGGAGGCGACAATACGAGTGGACAAAGGCCGTCTTGTAACTCAGGTTATTTACCATATAATACATAAATCTTCTCCACACCCACCACCAGTGTTGCAAATGATGAACCATACAGTTACCCAACACATGACAAATGCTATCATTATTGAATATATAGAACCTCAAACTGATTAGGGTAATTGGTATATGCGATGTTATGGTACGGCAAGGGCCCACATCACACTAGCCTAAATCGCACTAACTTGTCTGCTTGGTTGCTTCATGCCTCATGAGCTGCACCACGGAAGAGAACAGGGAGGGAAGAGAGAGCAGGGAGGGAAGAGAGAGCAGGGAGGGAAGAGAGAGCAGGGAGGGAAGAGAGAGCCATGGCAGGGCATGTGAGCCATGGCAGGGCATGTGAGCCATGGCAGGGCCGCCCCTGCATCCCATTCATGCACACTCCCACAGCCCTCCCTTCTCCTCACAACACTCTTCACCTCCCCCACCTCCCCCCCCACCTTCCCCCACCACGCGTTGGGGGAACTTGGTCATGTGAGCAACGATGTCGGCCATGGCAGGGCCGCCCCTGCACCACACTGCACCTCTGCAGTCACACCGCACCTCTGCAGTCACACTGCACCTCTGCAGTCACACTGCACCTCTGCAGTCACACCGCACCTCTGCAGTCACACCGCACATCTGCAGTCACACCGCACCTCTGCAGTCACACTGCACCTCTGCAGTCACACCGCACCTCTGCAGTCACACCGCACCTCTGCAGTCACACCGCACCTCTGCAGTCACACTGCACCTCTGCACCACACTGCACCTCTGCAGTCACACCGCACCTCTGCAGTCACACTGCACCTCTGCACCACACTGCACCTCTGCAGTCACACTGCACCTCTGCAGTCACACCGCACCTCTGCAGTAACACTGCACCTCTGCACCACACTGCACCTCTGCAGTCACACCGCACCTCTGCAGTCACACTGCACCTCTGCACCACACTGCACCTCTGCAGTCACACTGCACCTCTGCAGTCACACCGCACCTCTGCAGTCACACCGCACCTCTGCAGTCACACCGCACCTCTGCAGTCACACCGCACCTCTGCAGTCACACTGCACCTCTGCAGTCACACTGCACCTCTGCAGTCACACAGCACCTCTGCAGTCACACTGCACCTCTGCATCCACACTGCCTTCGAAGCTGCAGAGAGAAGGAGGGAATAAAAAGGTGGGCACCTACGTGCTGCTCACTCGCACTTCCCCATTCCCTCACCCACCCAATCCCGCACCCTGACAACCCATGGAGTGAAAACGGCCATGCACTTGCAGTGCAGGCGGGCCTGACTTAATTCAAGTGGCATCGCAACACCACCCACCCACCCACCCACCCCCCCACCCACCCTCCCGGTCAAGCCAACGGAGCCACGGACCGAGTGAAGATGGCCATGAGCTTGCCGTGCAGCACATCGTCGGGGGGCGAGCGCACTGCCAGCTTCACATAGGCTGACAGCATGAGGGCGCGCGTGGGGATGCTGCTCGCATGCTAACCCCCCGCGCCTGCTCGCATGCTAACCCCCCCCGCCTGCTCGCATGCTAACCCCCCGCGCCTGCTCACGTGCTAACCCCCCGCGCCTGCTCGCATGCTAACCCCCCGCGCCTGCTCGCATGCTAACCCCCCGCGCCTGCTCACGTGCTAACCCCCCGCGCCTGCTCGCATGCTAACACCCCGCGCCTGCTCGCATGCTAACCCCCGCGCCTGCTCGCATGCTAACCCCCCGCGCCTGCTCACGTGCTAACCCCCCGCGCCTGCTCGCATGCTAACCCCCTGCGCCTGCTCGCATGCTAACCCCCCGCGCCTGCTCGCATGCTAACCCCCCGCGCCTGCTCACGTGCTAACCCCCCGCGCCTGCTCGCATGCTACCCCCCCGCGCCTGCTCACGTGCTAACCCCCCGCGCCTGCTCGCATGCTAACCCCCCGCGCCTGCTCGCATGCTAACCCCCCGCGCCTGCTCGCATGCTAACCCCCCGCGCCTGCTCGTATGCTAACCCCCCGCGCCTGCTCGCATGCTAACCCCCCGCGCCTGCTCACGTGCTAACCCCCCGCGCCTGCTCGCATGCTAACCCCCCGCGCCTGCTCGCATGCTAACTCACCGCGCCTGCTCGCATGCCTTTCTCCCGCCTCTGCTCGCATGCTAACCCCCCGCGCCTGCTCACGTGCCCCCCCCCCCTGCGCCTGCTCGCATGATAACCCCCCACGCCTGCTCGCATGCCTTTCTCCCGCCTCTGCTCGCTTGCCATTCTTCCGCGCCTGCTCGCATGCTAACCCCCCGCCTTTGCGCGCTTGCTGTCCCCCCGCACCTGCTCGCATCCGACAACCCTCGCATGTCGAGGCTTACCCCGACGCAAATTCTCGCTCCCATCCCCCTCTTCCCTCCGCGTCGTCGGTGCTCATTCCCGTCCGCATCGCCAAACCGCGTCGCTGCTCACACCATGCCGCTCGCCTCACGTGATCGCGGCAGCTCCGAGCGCGCGCCCCGCACGTAAACGCGGCACACACCCCACCGCCACTCGCGCGATATTGCAACCCATTCCCGTCCGCGGCTCACACCTCCTCGCTGCAGACTTCAGTTTGTGTTACGTATTCTCTTATACTGAATCGCGTCTCGCGCCCGGTGAATACAATTTCGTTTGTCACCTTTTAGTACCACAGTGGTAGAAAGCGATATGAGGAGTGGACCGTAACAGTGAAATGCAGGAACATGAGCTTGGTGGGAGCGCTACTTGGAAAGAGAGAGGACGACGGTAAAGCTTGCGGCTCAGTGGAGAGGAGAACGAGGCGATATGGCGAGCAGATATCCGGCGACGAGACCAGCTAATCGAAGGCGATGAGGCGAAAATATATGAGGCGAGGAGGTGAACCACCGTGACTGGGCGACATGTTTTCCTAACAGTGACTGTTAGGCGAGGCGGCGCTCATCTATTTGGCAACGAGTAAGGGCAGAACGCGACGGTGTGTTCGACTACGCTGGTAATCCGCGGCCTAAATCGCTATTGCGATCGAGGTGTAGGTACCAGAAGGAGGTTTCATTTTGTGGCGACTATAATCTCTGGAATCACTAGGGGTCTATGGAGTGATCTATGGCAAAACCATCGTCGTACCAGTTTTGGTCTACAAACCATCATGCGGGTCAAGCTCTAATCTGGCGAACTTGTTTCGGCTCACCCGCCACCCCCCTCCCTCCTTCCGCCTCGACTTTCGTTTCTCCGCAAAGGGGTACTTTTGGGGACAGTGTTACCCTGTTCTCAAGTGATAAACCTTTGCCTCCCGCTTGAGGTATGTAGACCGCAGCTTTAACGGATCATCTCGTCACGAGTGTGGAATCCAGTTTCTGTTTGCGGTCCATCCAAGAATAGACATTCCCAAGGTCGCTCTGACACAGCCGCCAGGCAACACTGCAGTAATCTCCTAGGCAAACCCAGCTCGCGCTGCTCGTTCCAGCTTCCAGTGACCTAGTCACTCGCCTCTACACTTTAAGGCTCGTATCCTTTTACTGATTATTTTTTGTGTCGCTTGAGATTCGTTTGTCCGGGATTGACACGACTGCATTTTCGTGGTTTCATTCTGAGAAGGTTCCATCGCTAGTCCTCGTTCGTCTCGCGAGTTCGTTAGCTTCCGCGATCGTAGGGTTCGCTACATTCTTTAGCCTTGCGAAGAAGCCTTTGCTAGTCCTCGTCGCGCACTCGTTAACCTCCAGGCTTCCTGAGTAGCCTTGCGGAGAGTCCTGATTTCGCTGATCTAATTTCTAGCTCCTTCGCCAATCCTTCGTCATCTTGAAACCTCCTCAGCATTCACGATTAACTCCTAAGATCGAATCCTGGTGACGCGATCACGTTCCGTGAAGACACGTGGCAGCCTTTTAGGCACCCAGCTGGTGCGACCAGAGGCAGAGATGGTGAACTGATAGCGTCGCGTGCTACCAAGAACAGCTCTCTAGGAAATCACCGTTTGGTTTCCATGGCTGCTCATGCTCATAGCGGGACCAGTAATCCCCGCAATAACGCGTACAGTGGACCCTTATCCCCGTCGGGTGGTGTGACTACAGCGGGGTCGGTGAGCGACAGCAGCAAGGCGGCCAGCGCGTTATGGCTCATGGCATCGCACTTCGAGAGTACACGTCAGATTCCGCAGGTGAAGTGCTGACGTGGATACCCCTGGTAATATTCTGGTTAATTGACGCTGAGTCGTCCTGACCCCCTCCCCATCCCCCACACGCCTCCACACGCCCACTGCGCAGACCCCCTCACCTCCCTTCCCCTCCCCCCCACACCCCCCTCCAGCTTGTGAAGTGCCTGGAAGCGGTGTGTCAGAGCCCCCAGCCGTTCCTCCCACTCGTGGAGGTTCGCACGCGCTGCTGGCTGGCCCACGTGTTGCTCAAACACTCCCGCAACGTGCTGCACGCCAAGGCGCATCTCGAGAGAGCGGTGAGATGCGGTGATGTGCGGTGGATAACAGTTCTAGTAAGGTACGGTGGAGGTTCGCACGCGGTGCTGGCTGGCGCATGTGTTGCTCAAACACTCCCGCAACGTGCTGCACGCGAAGGCGCACCTCGAGAGAGCGGTGAGACTCGGTAATGTGCAGTGACGGTTAGTTTTAGTAAGGTACGGTGGAGGTTCGCACGCGGTGCTGGCTGGCTCACGTGCTGCTCACCCATTCCCGCAATGTTCTGCATGGCAAGGGGCACCTCGAGAGAGCGGTGAGATGCGGTGATGTGCGGTGGTGGTCAGTTCGAATAAGGTACGGTGGAGGTTCGCACGAGGTGCTTGCTGGCCCATGTGCTGCTGAAACACATCACAACATGTTCCATGCCAAGGGGCATCTTGAGAGAGCGGTGAGATGCGATTGCGTGCGGTGCATAGAGGTTGCGTGGGTCTGGGATGATCTTATAGTGGTTTCAAGGTGCCATCTGGTGCAAATGCTGTTGTGCAGATGACACCTCCCCGCATTTCCCCTCCTTCCCACCTCTGGTGCACTCTCTTTCCCTCTTCCCTCCTACCCTCCTACTCCCCTCCCCACCTCTCCCTTTCGACCCCTTCCAATGCAGCAAGTGCTTCTGAAGGCCATTCCTGGGAACATCCCCCTCAAGTGCACAGCCCTCTCTCTGCTCGCCACGTGTTACCACCTGATTGGCCACGCCCATTTTCACAAGCACGTGCTTCAAAAGGGCATCGATTTAGTCACCCACCAGCTCGCCACCCTCCCACGCTCGGACTCCCAAGCCTGGGGATCAGCCTCGGGCTCCGAGCCAGGTCCCAGCTCGGTTGCAGGGCCGGGAGGAGGCTTGGGTGGAGGTTCGGGTGGTGGTTCGGCTGGGGAGCTGGCTCGGTGGATGGGGGTGTTTTCAGTGGGGATGGCAGGGCGGTTGCTGGGGGAGGGGGATGTGGAGGGGGCTGCTGGCTCGTTGGCGAAGGGGATGGCTGCCGTGCAATCGACAGGGGATAGGGGCATGATGGTAAGCGTGTGTTGGTGATGTGAAGGTGCGTGTGTGGATGCAGGGGTGTGTGTGTGCTGGGGGAGGGGATGTGGAGGGCGCTGCTGGTGCATTGGGGAAGGGGATGGCTGCTCACGTGTGTGTATTCTCTGTCATGTGCATGCTGCTCGGTACAACAGCACTTGGGAATCAGGGCATGGGAAAGCATATACATTTCCGGTTGTATCTACTCCTCATCCTGGGTATCAACAGCTCTAGAGTTCGTGGGTGAGTGATGGAACTAGTGAGAAGCTGACATGCCGCTCCCCCTTCTCCTCCCTTCCCTTCCGCCTTTCCTCCCTTTCCCGTCGCCCTTCCTCCATGCTCACCCTTTCTTTACACCCTCTCTCCTTCCATACCCTATCTCCCTCCTTCCCGCCTCCCTCCCCACCCCATGGTACACTCCCCAAACAGCTCCTGCTATCCGCTTCCCTGCTTCACATTCGCATCTCGACCGTCCATCACACGCCACAGCAAATCTCAGCCGTTCTTTCAGACTGCACCTCGCTGTGGCAGCAGATCCTGCCACGTCAGCAGCCAGACTACCGTGGCCTGTTCGTCTACGTCCAATTGCTGGCTGCCACGTGGCACCTCCGCGTGGCTGACTACAACCAGGCCAAGGCTGACGTGGCAGCAGCAGAGGAGGCACTGGCGGGAATAAGTCCCGCTGCAGCGGATCGTGAGGCGCCAGCTGGCAGCTCGCCAGTTGCTGCGTCAGCGCCATGTCAGCAGCAGCAGCAGCAGCAGCAGCAGCAGCAGCAGCAGCAGCAGCAGGGAGGGAATGTGCATGCACAGAGACTCGGGCAGGATACAGGAGCAGTAAGAGCAGTGGGTGCAGCAGGAGCAGTGGCCCCAGGGGAAGCAGGAGAGGCGGCAGGTGCATGTTACAGGGACGATCCATTGATGCGGTTACCACTCGGCCCGCCCCACGTGCTCAATGCTGATTGGCTGCCGCTGCCAGCTGTCAGGGCGGTGGCGGGCCTGCTAAAGGTCATGCTTAGCCGCCCGGGAGGAAAGCTCCTGGAAGCTGAGGGGGCGTTGAAGGAGGAGAGGGAGATGCTGCGAGGTGAGTGGGGTGTGTGTATGTGTGGTTGTGTGTGTGTGAGTGGGTCCGTGTGAGTATAGCAATGCGTTGATGTGTGTGTGTGAGTGGGTCCGTGTGAGTATAGCAATGCGTTGATGTGTGTGTGTGAGTGGGTCCGTGTGAGTATAGCAATGCGTTGATGTGTGTGTGTGAGTGGGTCCGTGTGAGTATAGCAATGCGTTGGTGTGTGTGTGTGAGTGGGTCCGTGTGAGTATAGCAATGCGTTGATGTGTGTGTGTGAGTGGGTCCGTGTGAGTATAGCAATGCGTTGATGTGTGTGTGTGTGAGTATAGCGATGCGGCTGTTGATGTGTGTGTGGGTGAGTGGGAATGCGGTCAATGGGGTGTGACATAGCATCACTGCGCCTGGTCAAGGCTATGTATTGCTGCCAATTCCTCCAATGCTGTCTCGCCATCCCTCCCATCCCTCCTTTTCTTCATCTCTCATACCGCGTCCTTCGCATCTTTGTCGCTCTGTTTCCTCCCTCTGCGTCTAGTTTTCAATCCTCTCGTTCCTCTTCGTCTCAAACCCCTTTCTCCTCTGCACCTTCTCGCATGCACCTTGCCATCCTCCTCTCATTCTCATCATTCTCGGAACCCTAAACCTGAAACCTTGACCCCTCAAACCTTTCAACCCTAAACCCGAAACCCTCATTTTCCCAGATGAGCTACACCGCATTGGAGTCCTCCCAGGCTCTACAGGTACCCTCACTCAGACCCCTGCGTCTTTGTTGTTGTACATAAGTTTTTAGAATTCTCAAAATTCACCATCCTCACAGGCTCTACAGGTACCCTCACTCTTACCCTTGCGTCTTTTGATAAATTCGTTAATTCACTTTTGAGATTTCTCCAAGTGCCTCAACAGGTACTTCGCACTTTCTTATTACTTGCTAATAACACACCTGTCACCGCTTTAAGGGCTGTCCCCTGTGTGATGCATGTTACAGCCTAGAGCCTTCGACACTACTGTCCGCACTTCCATGACTACCCTGTCATGCCCTTTCAGCCGCCCTGTCATTCCGGTTCAATGCACTTGCCTTTTCTCGCTCCCATGCTATTTGCCACCACAGAGTCGAGTTTGGAGCCATGGAGTGTGGCGTGGGCAGGCACGCTCCTGCTCTTGCTCCTCTACGTCTTGGAGGCCCAGGCGGTGCTAGCGCTGACTTCAACAGAATACCCTCTTTCACAACGGGTAAGCAGACACATGCCAGGTTGTGTGGGTGGGGGTGGAAGGGGGAAGATGGAGGATGGGGTGGGCAGGCACGCTCCTGCTCTTGCTCCTCTACGTATTGGAAGCCCAGAAGGTGCTGGTTCTGACTTCCACAGAATACCTCCTCTCTCAACGTGTAAGCAGAGTGAAATACCAGGGTGGGTGTGGGGGCTGGTGGGGGATGGAAGTGGGAAGAAGGAGGATGGGCATGGACAGGCACGCTCTTCCTCTTGCTCCTCTGCGTCTTGGAAGCCAAAGCGGTGCTGGCGCTGACTTCTATAGAGTATGCTCTCTCGCAACGGGTAAGGGAGGGGAGGAAATGGGTACAGTGGCGCTCCTCCTCTTGCTCCTCTGCGTCTTGGAAGCCAAAGCGGTGCTGGCGCTGACTCCTACAGAGTATCCCCTCTCGCAAGGGGTAAGTCGAGCTGGGGAACATGGGATTGGAGGAAAAAGGATGCACTGCCTTGGTTTGTGGACAGGGTCGGCTATCATTGTTCCTGGGTTTTCTCCATTCCCCCGCTTGTTCTCCTTTTCCCCCGATCATTCCAACCGACCTACTAGGTGCTGTTGGAAATTTGTGACTGGTCGAGTCGCTTCCCGACCCTGCTGGCCTCGTTCGGGCCGAACCTCCACCTCCTGCTCGGGCAGTACGCCCATGCCACCATCGACCTTCCAATTGCAATCCGCCACTTCAGCACCGCTGCTGCCAAGGTTCGTGACTGCCTTGCTTGCTGCTCCTTTGATCTCTCTTGCTTTCTTGCGTTCTTACTTTCTTGGTCTCTTGCCACGCCTCTCCATTTTCACCAACGTGCCATTCACCCCCCATTCACCCCGACAAATAACCACTCTCGTTTCCGTTAACATTGTAACCCCCCCGCACACACACATACCCGGAGACAGCGTCCTCCTCCCCCCATCATCCCCACAATCGCCCCATCTGCTGCCTCGCTCTTTCCCTGTCCACCTCATAGCCATTTATTTTCCTGTTGTTTAATGCTATATCTCTCCCCCCGCACACACACACTCTCGCAGGCAGCGTCCTCCTCCCCCCACCACCTCCACCACCGCCCCATCCGCTGCCTTGCTCTATGCCTCTCTGCCATCGTGCACCTCACCATCGACGACCCTACCCATGGCCACATCTCCCAGGTGTGTTCCCATGGCTACATATCCCAGGCGAGTTCCTGCTCTCTACCCCCACTCCCCCCTCCCCCCACCACCTCCACCATCACCCCATCCGCTACCTCGCCCTCTGTCTGTCCGCCATCGTCCATCTCACCATCGACGACCCCTCGCATGGTCACACCTCCCAGGGCGAATGCCTTCCCCCCCTCTCCCCTCCCAACTCTTCCCTCCACTATTGTAGCAAGGCTCAGGAGATTTTCTGGTGGATGAAACGCCATGCGTATAGTCTCTTTTAAAAAGGTTCTTTTGAGTGTCAGCCTGCGTAGCTGCTCTTGGCTGCTCCATCAACTCTTTTGCTGCCTCTGCTCTGGTCAGTCATCCCCTTCCCCCGAGGCAGTGTACATTTCATCGGCTCGGGAGCAGCAAGAAGCACAGCGCGCCTTTTGAATCGACCCTTCTTCCTTTAACCATCGTGCATGCTGCCTCCTCCTATCCATGTCACTCCCCTTCCTTTCAGGCAGTGGACATTCTATCAGCTTTGGAGCAGCAAGAAGCACAGCACTCTCAAACGCGGCAGCTGCAGCAGCAGCAACTTTGAGTCGTTTCCTTCCTGCTCCATTTGGTTATTCGTCCCTCCTTGTCTCTGCGTCATCCCCTTTTCTCCAGGCAGTGGACATTCTATCAGCTCTGGAGCAGGAAGAAGCGCAGCACGCCCAAACGCGGCAGCTGCAGCAGCAGCAGCAACAAGCGGGAGCATTGCCATCACAATCAGCAGCAGTGTCAGCAGGAGACGAGAGGAAGAGGGAGGAGTGCGCGCAGTTGCTGGCAACGGCTCTGCTGGCGCTGAGACAGGGCAATCTGGTAGATGCACGGTGGGTCTGTGGCTGAGCCTGCCAGGTGCGTTGCTTGAGCCAGGTGACTGAGAGCGAACCTTGAGACGCACCTATTGAGACACGTTGAGGGGAGGACGAGGGAGCAGTGCGCGCAGCAAATTGCAACGGCTCTGCTGGCGCTGAGACCGGGCAACCTGGTGGATGCAAGGTGGGTCTCTAGGTGGTGCCGTGTGCGTTGATGGGGTAAGGTGGTTGTGGTGAGGCAAGGCAACATGTGTGTAGGAACCAGGTGATTAATGTCATGCCATGCGAGTGAGGCGCACATGTCAAAGCACGGGAGCAGCAGGGGAGGGGAGGAAGAGGGAGCAGTGCGCTCAGCTGCTGGCAACGGCGCTTCTGGCGCTGAGACAGGGCAACCTGGTGGAAGCAAGGTGGGTCTGTGGCTGTATTGATGGGGTAAGGTGATTGAATTGAGGTGAGGCGACATGTGAGTTGCATGGCAGCATGTGTGCTGGATGGCAACGGCAACATGCTCTTCTCTTCTTTTTCAGCATCTAGTTGCTTCTTCCCTTTCTTCCACGTGGCAGGTCTCGACTCGCCAAAGGGCTGTTGGTGACTCACCGCCAGCTCAGCAACCACCAGATTGCCGCCCATTTCCTGCTGGCCATAGGCGGCATAGCCCTGCGCACCAGCGACCTCGTTGGAGCAAAGGACATCCTGAGATCGGGGTTGACGCTTTTCCGGGCGGCGAGGGATACACAGGGCGTGGTGGCTGTTGCGGCAGAGCTATCACGTGAGTTTGAAAGGGGGGGGGGGGAAGAGGTGGAAAGGGATGCAAAGACCTTGTTGGAGCAAAGGACATCCTGAGATCTGGACTGACGCTGTTTCGAGCCGCGAGGGACACACAAGGCGTGGTGGCTGTGGCATCAGAGCTATCACATGAGTTTGAAGGGGGAGCGGGGGAGAGGGGGAAAGGGATGCAAAGACCTCGTTGGAGCAAAGGACATTGTGAGATCTGGACTAACGCTGTTTCGAGCAGCGAGGGACACCCAGGGCGTGGTAGCTGTTGCGGCAGAGCTATCACGTGAGTTTGAAAGGGGGTGGGGAGTAGGGGAGGGGGGGGGGGGGATGGGGGGAGCTGTCACGTGAGTGTGAAGGCGGGAAGGGAATGCTGAGTTGATCTGAATAGGCGCCCTGCACCATTGTTTTCTGAACTCTCAAAAACGCCACGCACATTCATGGGAGGCGGAGGGGGGCAGTTTCGTACATAGACTCAACCTCAACAACCTTGACTTTTGAGTCGACTCAAAAGACTCAACTCAGCATCTCATGTGTATCCTTGGCCTCCTCCTCTCTTCTCATCCCCCCCCTCCCTCCTTCCTGTCTCTCTTCGTTGCTCTCCTGGTCCGCCTCAAATATCGCCCCATCGAGTTCACTCAAACGTCACCATTCTCCTCGTCTTCCCCCTCTCCTTCCCCACTTTCTCCCCTTTCTCCAGTCTTGTACAGATCAACAAACGAGGCGATGGCGGAGAGTCAGAACGCGGCGTATCTGACTCCCAAGCGAGCCAAGCCAAGGCGACTCACAAGTTTCCTCCCCTCCTTGCTCCCCCTCCCCTTCCCCTGCTCCTATCCCTTCCCAGTCTTGTACAGGTCAACGGACGAGGCGATGGCAGAAAGTCAGAATGCGGCGTATTTGAATCGCAAGCGAGGCGAGCTGAGTCAGCAGGTCACAGCAGCGGTCGGTACACCGGGGCATGCCATTCTGCTACAGGTAGTGATCGTGTGCTATGCAAGAGTTGCTGTTGATCAAGGTAATAAATCAAGCCAGAAGTTGCAAGCGAGCTGAGCCAGCAGGTCACAGCAGCGGTCGGTACACCGGGGCATGCCATTCTGCTACAGGTTTGCACTGGTACGGTTTGCACTGGTACAGTTTGCACTGGTACGGTTTGCACTGGTACGGTTTGCACTGGTACGGTTTGCACTGGTACGGTTTGCACTGGTACGGTTTGCACTGGTACGGTTTGCACTGGTACGGTTTGCACTGGTACGGTTTGCACTGGAACGGTTTGCACTGGTACGGTTTGCACTGGTACGGTTTGTACTGGTACGGTTTGCACTGGTACGGTTTGCACTGGTACGGTTTGCACTGGTACGGTTTGCACTGGAACGGTTTGCACTGGTACGGTTTGCACTGGTATGGTTTGCACTCGTACGGTTTGCACTGGTACGGTTTGCACTGGTACGGTTTGCACTGGTACGGTTTGCACTGGTACGGTTTGCACTGGTACGGTTTGCACTGGTACGGTTTGCACTGGTACGGTTTGCACTGGTACGGTTTGCACTGGTACGGTTTGCACTGGTACGGTTTGCACTGGTACGGTTTGCACTGGTACGGTTTGCACTGCCCAGCGCTGCTGTCCTCTGGAACATGGTAGCATTATCTGCTGCACTGCAGCAGTAGTCGGTACACCACGGCATGCCATTCTGTTACAGCTAATTATCAATTTCATATGTTACCGTATGTAGGATTTGCGTTTGATGATTCTCAAAAGGTATTGTTTTCTTCCTTTGGAGTGAATACTGGCTGAGCATTTGCATTAGTTAGCACGGATAAAATGGCATAGCTCACATGGCAGTGGGGGAATGCTGATCACTACCTGTGTTGACTCCTTTGTGCTTCTCCCCTTGATCATCGCAGTATGGTCCTCCTCTATAAGGCCTCCGAATCGCTCTTCAAGCCTCTCAACCGCATATCACCTGATCAACCACATGTGGAAAGTCCTTTCGTGAACACTGCTCCGACACTCCAGCTCTGGCTTAGCAAGGCCGCCATTTCTGCACCTGCTGGTGGTGCTGCTGAAAACTCTTCAGTCCAATCCAACCAACCCCTTTCCTGCACCTGCTGCTGGTGTTGGAAACTTTTCAACGCAGTCACTTTCCTGCGCCTGCTTCTGCTGCTGTGTAAAGCAACACAGTGCAGCAGGGGCCTGCACTGCATACGGCATGTCAGGAGCACGGAAAAGGCACGGGTCTTTCATAATTCCATAGGTAGGTAGGAAGCATCTAGTATGCAGTGGCTGCTGTACTGAGTGAAGCAATGAGTACAGCAGGGGCCTGAACTGCATACGGCATGTCAGGAGCATGGAAAGAGCACAGGTTCAAGATAATAGTAGGGAATACGGGGGTGCAGTTGCTGTTGTGCTGTGCTGTGTGCCCATGGAATGTAGCCTTGCAATAATGCCCGCCAGTCATGTGGCTTTTGAAGCTTGCCTGCACCCTTTGTAACAGCTCTGAAATAGCATAGGGTATTGCAACTTTTGTATTCCACTACTGGGTACTGTACAATTGGGTATGTGGACGTGATGGTAATTGCCAGGTATATGGACACCGGCGGCAACCTGGCCAGGCTTCACAGTAATGGAAGTATCAGCAATGTGTGAAGGCACTAATGTGCCATAATTTTAAGGCAAGGTCCGAAAGACAAACATAAGCCATCCAAACACCCAAGAATGGCAGTATAGCGCATAATTACCCTTAACCCAGGAAGTGGCATTTGCCCAACACGTTGAATGCTAAACCCCAAAATTTAACCCATAAACAGTATGAAAACAATTTTACCCATGAACATAATGAAAACATATCTACCCATGAACAGTATGAGAGCCATCAAAGAGGTCCGCATTAGCCACATGAGCTTGCACCGCGGCCAGCACATGATTCATCCCCGCTCCCGAACCTCCGCTTATCAACGCCGGACCTGTTGCTCCGGTCCCCAAACCTGCTGCTGCTGCCGGAACGGCATTCGCCACACCAGTTCCTGCTCCTCTCACCCCTCCGTATCCCGAACTCCCCCCACCCACCCCAATATTGCTCTCCCCCTCGCCCTCATTCCCCCCAGCGTCTCCCCCCAATCCCCCCACTCCGCCCACTCCCCCGTTCCCCTCCCCCTCTTCCCCAACAACCCCCCCCCCCCCTTTTTCTCCCTCCTGAATCAACCGAGTGAGAAGCTCCTCTATCTGCACCGCTGTGGCATCCCTGTTTGCCTTGGTGAGTGTGAGCACGGCTGAATGGGGAGCAAGGAAGATAGGGAGGTACGGAGGGGAGGCATGAGTGTTGGAAGAGTCATATGGGAATGTGAGAAGCTCCTCTATCTGCACTGCTGTGGCGTCCCCCTGTTGGCCTTGGTGAGTGTGAGCACGGCTGACAGGGAGAACGGAGGATAAGGAGATAAGGGGGGAAGGCATGAGTATTGGAAGAGTCACAAGGGAATGTGAGAAGCTCTTCTATCTGCACTGCTGTGGCGTCCCGGTTGGCCTTGGTGAGTGTGAGCACGGCTGAACAGGAGAACAGAAGGAGACACGGAGAGAAGGCATGAGGCTGGGAAGAGTCATATGGGAATGTGAGAAGCTTCTCTATCTGCACTGCTGTGGCATCTCTGTTCGCCTTGGTCAGTGTGAGCACGGCTGATGGGAGGGGGGGAGAGAAGATAAGGCGGATAAGGTGTGGAGAGTAAGACGAGAGGGGGAGTTGACGATACGTTAGGGGCAAGGGAGGGGTAAGCAGGCACGAGAGGGTAGTCACAGTGAGCTGGAAGAGTGGGTAGGTTACATGCAATGTTCCAGAAAAAAGCAAAAGTATCAAAAGAGGAAACGCGAGGAAGACGTCCTGAATTTAGAGAAAGAACAGAAATTGGATGAAAATGAGGATTTTGAGACACATCAAGCACTGGGCATAGATGTGTTGCTTCAGTCGGTCAATTTAGTGCTGCCTGATTTTCAATGCAGAATCCTGTGCAATGAATCAAGAGCATAAGCACCTGTGTCGGCGCGCTGCTTGATTTCCTCTACTAGCTCCAACGTGTGACCATAACGAGGGGCGGGCAGCGCACCAAACACCTGCAGACACACACCAACGCGAGCAAGAGAGCAGTGAAAAGTGCGAACGAGTGAGGAATGCATAGGAGGACGAGTGTACTGAAAAAGAGCTGGTTCTACGGAGTCGGATGGAAAACCTAAGGGCTGTGCAGCAAGGACTTGGGTAAGAATGAAAGGGCTTACGGCAACGGGAGAGGCGAGCAGGTTGAGCACAGCGTCTCTGAACTTGTCGCTGCATAGCTCCATGCGCCCGATCTGGATGGGAGAGAGGAGGGGTTGGGGAGGGAGGGGGAAGTGGGAGAGGTAGGCAGAAGGGGGGGGGAAAGGGAGGCAGAAGAGGGGGGAGAGAGGGCAAAGGGGAGCAGGTTGAGCACAGCGTCTCTGAACTTGTCACTGCAGAGCTCCATGCGCCCGATCTGGAAAGAAGGGAGTGGCAAGGGAGACAAAGTGGGGAAGGAAGTCAAGGAGAGAGGCGAGCAGGTTGAGCATAGGCCTCTGATCTTGTCACTGCAGAGCTCCATGCGCCCGATCTGGATGGGGGAGAGAGGAGGGGGGAGTGGGAGGGGGAGGGGGAAGTGGGGGAGTGGGAGGGGGAGGGGGAAGTGGGGGAGGGGGGAGTGGGAGTGGGAGAGGGAGACGGAGGCAGAGGGAAAGGGGGGGGAGGGGGGCAGAGGGGGGGGGAGGGGGGCAGCAGGGAAGGCAAGCAGGTTGAGGACAGCGTCTTTAAACCTGTCGCTGCAGAGTGTGCGACACTGATAGCCTAACCTCACAACTGCTGCCCCCCCATCGATCATGCATCTCTCCCAACCGGCTCACCTCATCTACGATGTGCAGGCGTGTGGTGTCTGACGGCATGAGGTTTGAAATGGTGGAACCATGAGGCCGCCTCACCTCATGCACAATGTGCAGCCAATTCACCTCGTGCTTGCGCATCCACCAGCCTACCTCATCTACGATGTGCAGGCGTGTGGTGTCTGACGGCATGAGGTGCGGCATTGATGGGCTAACCTCGCAACTGCTGCTCCCATCCCACCACCTCATCACCTCACCTCGTCAACGATGTGCAGGCGTGTGGTGTCTGATGGCATGAGGTGCAGCATTGATGGTCCAACACACTGACCGACTCACCTCGTGTTTGCACATCACAATCCACCCACCAAGCTCACCTCGCCCACTATGTGCAGGCGTGTGGTGTCCAATGGCATGAGGTGCGGCATGGCATGGATGACCCATGAACCTACAAGCACCGGCTCACCTCATCCACGATGTGAAGTCGTGTGGTGTCCGATGGCATGAGGTGCGGCAGCACTACCCGCTCAAACTCATCTATCGCCACGTAGTACTTGCCGATCTAAGGAAGGAGATGGGGGAGGGCGAGAGGTAGAAAGCGAAAGAGACAGTATGAGACATACTGAAATTCGGCAGCATTACCTGCGATCTTCAGACATAATTCTTAGGGAGAAGCAGTAGCGAAGCTAGACTTGAAGCAAAAGAACAAACAGCTAGTCTTGTACTCGCCGTGAAAGACTAAGTGTTCAAAGAGATCTCTAAGACTAAGTATGAGACACACTGAAACTCGGCAGCATTACCCGCTCGCAATAGAGCAGTGGAACGTGTTGAGCTCGTCTATTGCCATGCATTACTTGCTGATCTCACACCTTTTCCTTTATCTGCACACACACATGACTCCAACCCCATGGCCCTTGGTTTCCCATCCCCCCTTCTCCCCCCTCCCCCACTCCCCAGTTCCTCCACTTCCCCGCTTTCCCATTCCCCCCCACATCCTTCTTTTCCCCACCTTGGGTCCGCAGCCTCTCTGTAATCTCCACAGAGGTGCGCTCGCCGACTTGCCTTTACACCCCCCTCCCTCCACTTACCCCCCCCTTACCCCACCTCCCCCTTCCCCTTTCTCTCCCGCCCCTTTCCCCCGTGGCCCCCACCTTGGGTCCGCAGCCTCTTCGTAATCTGCACAGAGGCGCTCCTAACCCCCATGCACCCAGTTTCCCCCCATCTCCCGGCCCCCCCGTTCACCCCGTTCCCCCCACCTTGGGTCCGCAGCCTCTTCGTAATCTGCAGAGAGGCGCGCGCTCGCCCGCGAAAGTGACTGTAACGGGGGGAAGAGAGGGGGAGGCGGACGGGGAAAACAAGAGCAAATGGGAAAAAGGGGGAGGGGTGAGAGTGGAAACAACGCTAACATGGTGGACGCAGATTGAGTTGGGAGCAGGCGGGTGGCGAGAGGGACGGGCGAGGAGGGGAAGCGGGAGGGCGACGGGGAGGGGAAGGTGGGAGGGAAAACAGGGATGCATAGGAAGGATGGGGGAAAGCACAGACCGCAATGCCTCGCTCCTACTCAAACTCCCTACCAGTCAATCTGCTTTCTCTTTCTCTTCCCCCTTATTCCACTCTCGCTCCCCTCCTCACTCTCGTCCCCTCACCTCTTCACTCACTTCCTCTCTCCCCTTCCCTTCTCCTCCACCCACACTCACAGACATCCGACCGAGTCGTTTCCCCGTGCCCTGCGCCTTCGCTTCATCCATGCTGCGATAGGCGCAACGGAACTCACCTTATCCCTTTCCTCCCATTCCCTTCCACCTCACGTCCTCACTCCATCGTCACTCCCCTCATCTCTCCCTCCTCCCACACTCACTAACATCCAGCCCGAGTCGTTCCCCCGTGCCCTCCGCCTTCGCCTCAACGGTGTAGAACCCCGCTACTAGATGCTGCGGTAAGCGCTTCGCCACCTTCAGCACCAGCCTGCAAGGTACACGCAATACGAACCCACAGGAAAAAAGAAACAAATCTTCCAGTGTATTCACAATACGGTAACCATTCAAAAACGGCCCGTCATCAGGACCTTAAACGTGACGAGCACCAACGGGGAAGACCGCCAACAGACCCGCCGAACGGATATCTTCATAGAGCTTCACTTCATATACGCGGTATTGAGTGCACGATGATAAGGAGGAGAAGGGATGTCGGTAAGCACTCACGAGGTTTTCCCGATGCCTGGAGCACACACGTCCACGCGTGCCGTACACACGCGCCCACGCATGCCATGCGCACACACAGCGCCAAAACCGGGGGGGACGTGGGGAGGGAGGCGGGTGAGGGGGAACGGACGTAGCGACGGCAGTTAAGGATCATGCAAGCGGCAGGGTGAGGAGACGATAGAACCGAGAACATTAGCGAGAGAACGAGAACATTAGCATGGGACAACACATGGAGGCCAGTGCTGGCGGCGAGCGGAGGACACGAATGGAACCGCATAGATTCGCACGGGACGCAAAACAGGATAAGCTTTCCACCCTCTGCTGCCGCCTGCTCGCCTCAAGCGCTGGGAGCGGATCTAGATGCAGCATGACGGACTGCAGCTCAGAAGCGCTACATGAATGCCACCTGGGTGCTACCCGAAAGTTACCCGAGTACTACCCGGTTGCTACCCGGGTGCTACCCGAGTGCTATCTGAGTGCTACCTGAGTGCTACCCGCGTGTTACTGGAGGGTACCCGAATGCTACCCGAGTGCAACGGGTGCTGTCCGGGTGCTACCCGAAAGTTACTCGAGTGCTACCCGAGTGCGATACTCTGCTTTCTAAAACGTCTCTGGAAACGAGATGCGAGCACCATGCTGTTTAGTCTGGCTGTTTCGTTTCCAATACCAAGCCGGACTATAACGCAATCTTCAGTGTTCTTATAAGGATGTGCCTGACCGACCCGATGGTACTGTAGTCTCTGGTGTGCTTATATCGAAGTACCTGGCTGGCCGGTGACGAATACGTTCACGGTGGAGCTGTTTGCACCGCTCGTTCCGCTCGTGCCTTCGTGCGAGACCATCTGTACCATCCACGGAGTCGCGGGGTGACTGAATCCACGGCTCAGATTCGCTGCTAGCTACTAGCTACGCCACGTATGACAATGCCGCAGTTTTGCCCAGAGAGCAGAGTGTAACGTCGTTGATGACGCTACCACTCCTCCGTCTAGCCTAACCTCTGCTTGCGATCTTCGACCCTTAAAAAATGGGTAGCCTCTGTTAGTCTCTGCCTACTTCCGTGACGTCATGACGGAAAACGGATGTATGAAAGGGTCTCTAACCAATGGTTGGGACAAGCACACGCCGCGGGAGAGCTAAGCCTAAGCTTGACGAAGTCTACGAAAACAAACGGAAATTGAAGTACATGTTCAAGATGTCTGCGGTACGGAATCTCCAAAGCGCTGTAGTAAGAAGTGGGAAGCGAAGGGGGATCCTGAAGTTAGTTCGTGCTGCGCGACGAAGGAAGGGATGTATGACGCAGATCTCTGCTTGCTGCGCAAGAGTGTGAGCAAAACAGGAGAGGGAGAGTTGGGAAGAAGTGGGATGGAATGGAAACAGGAACAACGTCCGAACCGAACAGCTCGGCGAGGCAAATTCTGGGGAATGTCTTAGATCAGTCAACGCGTCGCGGAAATTGTTTTGGTCAGGTACGAAATTGCTGGAAGAGAAATCTGTGGGGGTAAAAAGCGATTCAGGAATCAGAACCCGTACAGAATGACGATGTACGGTCATTCTGTCGAAATTATCTAACTTGGGCAGTTGTATCAAATGACTGGCGGTTGCTGGTCTGGGCATTGGGCAGTCCAGCGCACAGCCGGAAAAGCCGGGTGTCACCTGAGCTGGACACAACCGAGTCACAAGAAACGCCAGGAGAAAGTCCCTCAAGCTCGAGGCGGGCTGAGCTGGCTACAAGACATGACTTGCTTTCGTGGCACATCCAATGAAATTGCAAGAAGCCCCAAGATGCTGTGCTGTAGATGTCCTGTCACTCCATGGTGGATGAACAGCGTGTACCATGACATGAGCAGGCAGTGTACAAATACATACCGCATGACCAAGTTGACCACGAATACTGCTGTTCTTTATAAGGTTCATCATCTAACATTTCATATATATATTTAGCATTTTTTTGCAAAGTTATTCGGCGACTGCATTTATCTGCAGCACCAAACCGCATACCCATTAATACACAAATCTTGCACACAAACAGCTTTAATCGCTATGCTCGGGTGGGCAAAGCAGTTACTAACCCAGCTGAGCTTCCGAGCAGGCACTGCTGCTACTATTTTGGCCTCTTCGTGAATGCTAAATACTATCCACCACGAATGACCACTGCTTCGATCACAGGTAAAACACAGTTGGATAGCAAAAATGAACCTCTACCAATCATTAGGATACACTTGTCGGAGCTTCTTTCCAGGGACATACGTGCCATCTTGGAAACCCACGAAGAACTGCAGTACGAACACACAAATAGTCCACAATCAGGCTCCCTATTCTTGGATGCGTAACGGAGAAAAAAGAACCATAACAGAACTTACCTTGGGAATCCAGGGGTGGACAACTGGTGAAGCATCACTCTGGGCTACGAGATTTTCCTGTGCGACGTAAGTGGAGACACCTCCTGCTCTATCGCGAGTGTCTACCAAGACGTGGTAGAAGGGCTGGCTTCTCCCATGTGTCAATAGGTCCACTTTCATCGCATCTTGCCAGCTGGAAGGGGCTGAACACTCAGGATCGTGACCGTACACAACGCCGCGATAGCCTGTACACGGAAGCGGGTGGACAGAGATGGGCTATTGGACTAACAATGATAAAGAGTAATAACGAATCGAAAAATGTCACAAACACTCACCGTATCTGCGGTGCACGATGACATCTCCCACACGGTACATAATGCGCGGTTTGGCCTGAATCTCTAACAAACGCTTCCGAAACTCCATCATAGCTAGGCTGTCGCGGACCTGCAAGAGAAAGACAGCGTCAATGGCTAGTTTGGGGACTCCAGTGCTACAAAAGCATTATTTGGAATGCAGCCTACCACGCATGCTTCCTCGTAATGTTCTCCCGCCACCAGAGCTGCCATCCGGTCTTGCAGCTCTTTCACCTCAGACGACACAACCACGTATGACTCGCTCATTTCTAATTCCTGCAAAATCAATGGAAAGTGGATGAGGCCCGCTACGAATACGAAGGGTATAGAAACACGACATAGAACAAGCCAAGAACGGGAAAGACGCACCTTCCTAGCCCTCCTCTCCACAACACAGTCATTTCCAAAGGAGTCGCGAAAATTCTCAAGCGGATCGGCCACTTCCATGCGCCAGGCCTTCGGTCGACGGACTTCGCGATTGCAACAGACTTTAGTAGAGAGCTTTAAGCATTGACTATTTCCAAACATCGAAGACATTGACGAGCGCACGGTTCGTCCTTTCTGAACTACCTGCTCTTCACTCTTAAGTGGTCCATAACACGCGCAATCCTTCAAGACTACGGAGCTCGCTGAGAAGGCGGCCATAGCTAATAAATTCTATTGACTTCAAGCCCGTTCGGAAACTGAGGAGCATTAAATAAAAAAATATCGGAGAGATCAAAGATAGTGGTTCACGAGGCGACGTTTGCAATGCTTGGCATGAAACACAGAAGACTGTGACAACCTAGCAAGGGCAGTACAGCACTGAAAAGGAGCCGACGATCGCCTTTGTCTCTTGAGAGAGTTCCAACAGGGGTGGGGAGCTAATGGAGAGGAGCAGAGCAGGAGTTCTCGATGGGGGTCACTCGCATGCGTCGAGGGGAGGAGGAAGGAGGTAGAGAAGGATCGGGCAGATGTCTGGTCAGCTGACATGGCATGAAAAAGGGATTGTGATCCGCTGAGGAGGAAGGTTTGCACGGGGAAGAGGTAGCATCCCTCCCAATGTGGAGCCACGTGAGTGGCTGCGGTGGATCGTGGCACAATCAATGACGCCGATTGGAAACCCCGTTAAAGTGGAGGCGGGCTTGGCGCGCAGAATACGACTGGAGGTGAATGGATGATGTTGCAGTTTCGTTTCCGTGCAGACCGCAACAGTATCAAAGCAGGACGTTTCTGTCCACACGTGGTGACTGTGGATGGTGGTGATTCTGATGTGACCCATCAAAATCGACCGCAAATGTGTGGACTTCCGTTTGAGGTCAATGTTCGATTGATATTCCCCGTTTACTTAGGAATGAAATCACTAATAAAATTTCGTACTGTGCCGTTCCAGACCGTCTCTAAAACTGAACGAAACGTGCTGTACCGCTAAAGATTAGTGCCTATCAAAAGCAGCCTCCCCACAACTCATCAAATCACATGTTGTGATGCAATATCCAGGATACAAGGACTGGTATTAATGCGAGATGCTCTTTACGCGTACAGACTCTATGGTGAAGTTCAGTCATCAGTTGAGAGAGCGCCGTTCCTAGCGCGGCTGCGACAAGATTACGTGTGCTGATCAGCCTAAGATTGTTGATGTCTATATTAGGTGCTGATCAACCTATGATTCCAGATACCATAGTCATAATTAGTGCTTTGCTTTGAGGTGTGTACACGAGTAGGTAATGAGCGACGAAACAAATGTTCCGGATCTATAAAGTGGCAGCAGACCAACTCTTAGTTGCTTAGATCAGGGAAGACAATGGCATTGGCACTCAGCGTCACACCTCATGGCCCCAAGCCTATTTTCAGAACCATTTCCGGAATCCGCCCGCCGCGAGAAGTTCATTCATCCGCGAAGCATGTTATGGTAACCAGGAATGAATGGCGAACGAGCGACTACAATCGCGATCCTGAGCCGACGAAACCTGTGGGATTGACCACTAGGAGAAGACCATCTGGCATTGAGCGTGACGAGCCTGCTGCGGACCCTATCGCCGTCGGTGATTCATCAAACGCGCATCTATGGCCTTCTACAGATGGACAGATTGAAGGAATCATCAGGACGGGTAGAGAAAGCAGAGAAGTCAGAGACAGAAGATTCAGCAGAGAAAGCAGAGACAGCAGAGACAATGGAGACAGAAGGGGTAATGTAGCAAGAAGCAGTATGATTAAAGGGTTGGTTGGGGTTCAAGGCGAGAAACCGCAAGGCTTGGTGAGGAAGCCTGCCGGACAGGGCCGGGATGCGGTGTGGAAAACGCGCGACCGATTTGACACGGATTCAGCAGTGCCAGATCGGCTTAGAACGGAACTTATTGCAGCAAAAGCTGGTGAGAATGAGTCAGCGTCGCCAGACCGACGCAGGGCGGCACATCGGGAGGGTCAGTACAGGTCTTCTGCTGCGCAGTCACCAGCGTGGACGGCGCGAGGATCCGAGAAACCGTTCTTACCAGAATTGATTGATTTCGTACGTGTTGCTGACGGTACTAGTAACGCAGCTGCTCCTGTCGGGGCAGCTGGGTCGGCTGGTGAAGCAATATGTTCCGATACAGAGAGACGTACTACTCTAGGTAGGTCTGTGAAACGAGTTATGGCGAGTACCCCTGGTCAGATCTGCAGCAGCAGCAGCAGCGGACGTTGGGGAAGTGACAGTACTGCTGATGCTAGAAGCAACATGACAAGCAACATGGTTGGGGGGATGTGGCGAGGGAGAGAGGGTGCGAGAGAACGGGCGGCGAAAGCAGCAGCGGAGATCAGAGCCCGAGAGTTGAGGGGAACAGCAGAGGTGGGTGAGTGTGTCAGGCGCCATAGCCTAGCCGTTGATAACCGGACTCTCAACCTGCTGCTCGGGGTGATGGTGGGAGGAAGAGCAGTATCGGATACCGGAGATTCTGTAACGGAGAAGCGAAATGACGGGAGAGCCGCAGATAGGAGGCTTCCTGCTGTGTCTGGAGCAGGGGGGACAGGGTTTAAGAGACGTTTAGAGGAGAGGGATTGGGAGGGCGCAATGGCGGTGGCGGTGGCGTTTGACGGGGAAGGAGTGGAGTTGAACGAGAGGATCTACACCACGCTGATCTCGTGCTTTGGGTGAGTGCTGCTCTCTCAAGGTGACGAGTGTGTTGCCTCAGATGTGAATTGAGGTGATTATTGAGTTGGCTGAGTTGAGGATGTGTTGAGGCGGAAGGAGTGGAGTTGAACGAGCGGATTTACACCACCCTGATCTCATGCTTCGGGTGAGTGCTGCTCTCTCAAGGTGACGTTTGTTTTGGCTCATATGCCATTTGAGGTCATTACTGACTTGGCTGCGGAGGTGTTTGAGGCGGAAGGAGTGGAGTTGAATGAGCGGATTTACACCACGCTGATCTCATGCTTCGGGTGAGTGTGCTTTCTACCTCCCTCCCCTTCCTTTCTCTCTCCTTCCCTCGCCCCCTCTCGCCCCCGTCTTGCCCTCGCTTCTGGTTGCCGTTCGCCCTAGCGCTATCAGAATCACCACCAAAGCACCTACCATGCTCCCCTTTCCCCTGTGCACTGCAGCAAGGGCGGGCGCATTGGGGACTGTTGGCGGTGACTCCGCGCTATGGAGAGGCAGTGGGGGGTGGCGCCAGTGCCAATGGGGGCGCACATGCAACAAGTGGCGGAAGTGCGAGGGGGGGCGCAAGTTAATGGCGCGGGTGGGGGAGAACGGGAGGGAGAGGTTCAGGGGAAATCAGAGGAGGGGAGCTGGGAGCAGAGAGGTTGGGGGGAGAAGGGGGAAGGGGAGGGCGAGAATGGGGGAGGAGAGGGGGGTGCGTACGGGAAGCACGTGCTGCTTCCAGAGGACATCTATGACGTGATGCTGGGGGCGTGTGTTCAGGTAAGAGCGTGGGAGGGGTAGGGGGAAGGAGGAGGGGAAGGGAAGGGGGAAAGGGCGGAGGAGAGGGGGGAGCAACGGGAACATACAGGGAGTGTGTGTTGCTTCCAGAGGATATTTATGATGTGCTGCCGGGGGCGTGTTGACTTTTGAGTCGACTCAAAAGCAACAGGAACATACAGGGAGGGAGTGTGTGCTGCTTCCAGAGGATATTTATGACGTGCTGCTGGGGGCGTGTGTGCAGGTGAGAGCGCGGACGAGGGATGTTACGGGGAAATGGGGGGATGAGAGGAGGAGAAGAGGATTTGTGTGAAGCTGTGATTGTGTCACTGGGACAATTTTATGCTCAAGGATTTATTTTCCTTGTTTTTCCACTTGTCCCCCACATACCCCTCATCTCCTCCCGCTCTTCTCCTGCAGTGCGAGGACTGGAAAGGGGCGCTAGCCATCTACCACCACCTCTCAGCACACGGAGCTGCTGTATGCTCAATGATTCTCGTTCCCTGTTCCTCCGCTTGCCTCCCTTCTACCCATCTTCTCTCCCGCTCTTCTCCTGCAGTGTGAGGACTGGAAAGGGGCGCTAGCCATCTACCACCACCTCTCAGCACACGGGGCTGCTGCAGCATCAGCATCAGCATCAGCATCAGCATCAGCATCAGCATCAGCATCAGCAGCTGCTGCAGCAATAACAGCCGCTGTGTCAGCGGGAGTAGCATCTGCAGCAGCTGTGTCAGAAGCAGCAGCACTGTCCCACGCGCATCACCATCATCGTCACCATCACCAGCCTGTGCATGGGGAGCAGCGCATGCCAAGGAGCAGTCAATTCGCGCTGGTGCTGAGAGCATGTGCGCGAGCAGGCAGGTGGCAGCTCGCCCGTGACCTGCTGCTTGCTGCTGATGATGTCTTCGTTGCTGCCCTTGCCACTGCTGCTGGTGCTTCTGCTGCTTCTGCTCGTTCTGGTTCTGGTTGTCCTGCTGCTGCTGCTGCTGCTGCTGCTGCTGATGGTGCCGTTTCTGGTTCTGGTCTTAGTGCGGCTGCTGCTGCTGCTGATGGCAGTGATGGCAGTGGTGGTGGTGGTAGTTGTAGTGGTGGTAATGGTGGTGGTGTTTGTGCTCCCCCTCTTTCCCCACACCACCCTCCCATTGCCACCTCATCTGCCATGTTCACTGACGTCATCACAGCCTGTGCCAGGTCAGCACAGCCAGTTCCAGCTCTCCTTCTGCTCGACCGCCTTGATTCCCACCCTTCCCCGGACCTCTATGCTGACGTGGCAGCCTATACAGCTGCCATCTCAGCATGTGCGAGTGTTGGCCAATGGGAGAACGCCATCCGACTGCTGACTAGGATGCAGCAGCAGCCAATTGGAAAAGAGATGGGGAGGAATGGGAAAGCCTCTTCCATGCCGAAGCTGGAGGTTCGGGGAAAGCAGGAGGTACTTCGAAAGCCTGCAGTTCGGCCGAACGTGGTGACGTGGACGGCAGTGATGTCAGCATGTGCAACGGCAGGGCGTGCTGACGTGGCAAGGGAAGTGCTGAGAAGGATGATGCGAGAAGGGAATGGAGAGGAGGGTGAGGAGAAAAGGGAGGGTGAATGGAAATGGAAGAATGAAGGGACGACGGAGAGAAAGGGGAAAACGGAGGGTGAGAGAAAAGGGGAGGGTGATGGGAACGAGGAGGAGAGAGTAGTTAATGGACGGAGGAAAGAGACCAGGAGGGAGGAGAGACTGGTTGTGACAGGTGCCACGTCAGCATCTTGCTTTGATGCCATATCAGACGCCACGTCAGATTGTCGTCCCAATGTGGTGACGTGGACAGTGGTCCTGACTGCATGCGCGAGGGCGGGGGAGTGGCAGCAGGCCGAGGCACTGTTCACCCAGATGCAGACAAACGGAGTGATGCCGAACGAGGTCTCGTGGGCGGCACTGATCAGCGCTTATGCCAAGGGCGGGCAGTGGGAGAAAGCTATAGGAGCCCTGAGGGCTATTAGAGGGGGACGAGGTGGGCAAAAAGAGAAGGGGGGGAAGGAGAAAGAAAAAGAAGCAGCAACAGCAGCAGTAATAGAAGCAGCAATAGCATTGGAACCACCTAATCAATCTCAATCATCGCCCCTCCCATCTGCATGGAACGCTGCACTGCATGCGTGTGCCAAGGCCGGCAAGTGGAAGCTTCTGGGAAGCCTCGTGCAGGAGATGCAGGAGGCAGGGTGTTCTCCCTCTGTGGTGACCTATGGGGTGCTGGTGGGGGGGTATGGGCGCGCGGGACAAGCAAGACTGGCGAGAGAAGCGTTTGATGAAATGCTGGCGGCAGGGATAAGGTGAGATTCTTGAGGGTAGAAGTGGGCTCCATTTCTCTGAAGTGCTGCTCCCCCTCTGTGGTGACCTATGGGGTGCTGGTGGGAGGGTATGGGCGATCCGGGCAAGCACGATTGATGAAATGATGTCAGCTGGGATAACGTGAGATTCATGGGAACAGAAACAGGTGCTCCCTAATTTTCAGAAGTGCCCCCCCTCTGTGGTGACCTATGGGGTGCTGGTGGGGGGGTATGGGCGCGCGGGACAAGCGAGGCTGGCGAGAGAAGCGTTTGATGAAATGCTGGCGGCAGGGATAAGGTGAGATCGAAGGAGCCAGATGTGGATTCTTCCCCCTCTTCTCTCCCCCCCATTCCTTTTTCCTGTGGTGACCTATGGGGTCTTGCTGGGGGTTATGGGGAGGCGGGGAGAATGAGGTTGGCGAGATGAGCAATGTGATGCTGGTTGCTGGGATGAGGTGAGAGGCCTGGTTGACTTGCAGTAACTTGGGCATCGTTGAGCTGATATCGATAGAAAGGACACTCCTGTCCCTCATTTGCCTAGTTCCTGGCTCTTCCTTTCACCTGAAACCTTTCCTGTTCCATTGATTCCTTCCTCCCATTTCCCTCCGTTTCTTGCTATCTTTATTCCTCTCTTTTTTTTCTCGTGCAACAGCCCAAATGCAGTGGTGTGTGCTTCGATGGTGCGAGCATACGCACGTGCCCGCCAGTTCGGGCAGGCCATGAAATTCTTCGAGGCGATGCCGGGACTGGGGGTGGTTCCTGACAAATACACCTACACAGCGCTGCTATGGGCTTGCGGTGCCTGCGGGCAGTGGCAACGGGCAGAAGAAATATTTTCGAGGATGAAGCGGCAGGGGTGCGTGCCGGATGGGGTGACTTACAGAACGCTGATAGAGAGTTATGAGATGAATGGGGAGTGGGATAAATCCATGGAGGTTCTAGAAGATATGAACGCTTTGTCTTCTAGAATGTTACAACGGACAAGTCATGGGAAAGGGCAATGACATAATGATGTGACGACCCTGTGATGTACCCTGTCTTTGAACGAATGATATGGCAATTCAAATTCACCCTCAAGTGTTTCACTTCACCCTTCAAATGTGCATTCTGTGGCAGCACGCAACTTTTGATGTCAGTAACAAAGCATTTCTTTCACAATATTGTACATTTTTATACCTCTTGACTGTACTCCCCTTCAACTGCTGCGAATTCAATCGGCAGCACACTTATCAATCTCTATCAGTCATCTGAGCACCTAGAGAATTGCTAGCTGTGATTGGTATGAGATTGGTAGAGTTCAATCACTCCCCAAGCAGATCAGCGGATTGCTAGCTGTGATTGGTAGAGTTCAATCGGCAGTACACTTATCAACTCAGATTGGTTTTGGGCTGGTCTGAAAAATCAGAGTAGGTACAAAAAAATAAGCTGAAAATCAGACAAACCAAACCAGCCATATTATGCCATTTTACACTAAAAATCACATAGTTTTTCCTGTGTTTTTCCAAAAAAAATGCTGAAAAATCAGCCCTGGTTCTAAAAAAAAGCCTGAAATCTCAGCCTTTTTTACCAAATCAGCCTTTTTTCGCTGAAATCTGAGGCCCTGGCAGCTGCCCAACTGTTCCCCAAGCAGATCAGCGGAGCACGATGAACTTCTCTCCGTTCACCGCTTTAATCTTGCCCACCCGCTTGATAATCTCCTGAAATCGTTTCTTATCCTGCCACAACAGTAGACAACAAAAGAAACGACACAAGGACCAAACAAGGTGGGAAGGAGTTATGGGCACAGCAGCACGAACCAATCTAGCTTTAAGGTAACTTTTCAGGTGGGCTTTGAGGTGGCTTTCACGCCAAGTGTTGTACCATACCCTGCAACCCTCCTCAGTCCGCCACACTGCACACTTAGTGTGACTCACCCATCTAATCCCCCAACTCACCTCTGCAGTCTTGAGGCATGATCGGAAGCGGTTCACCAGATCGGCACTCTTGATAGGAGCCTGCCTCAAAATCCCCTTCACCGCTTCCTCTGTCACCGCTGTCGGCTTCGGCCCTGCCGCTGCCCCAGATGCACCTCCCCCAGATGTACCTCCCCCTGGCCTGCCTGCTGCACCTCCACCCGCCCCTGGTTCCCGCTTCACAGGCAGAGGAGGGGTTCGTTTCCCTGGCTCGAGCTTCCCTTTCTTTGCCCCTGCTGCTGCTCCAGATGCACCTCCCCCAGTTGCACCCTTCTCCAGATCCTTTCGCTTCAGCCCCCTCCCTGCTGCTGCCGCCGCTGCTGCAGCAGCAGCACTGAGCGCAGCAGCAGCACCAGCAGCAACAGACGCCGCTGCTGCCCCCCCCTCCCCCTTCCCGCCTCCCACCCCCTGCCCGCCCGCCGCTGCTCCACCCCCCTTCCCCTTCTGGAAAATAGGCGAGAAGGCTATATCTAAATCCTCTTCGTCATCCTCCCCGTCCTCCTCCTCTCCTGCTCCCCCGATTCCCCTCGCCCCCACCCCCTCCTCCCCTTCCACCCCGGCCTTATGCAGCAGCTTCTTTAATGCCTTGCCTGCATGGCTCAGTGATATCCCCTCCCCTTCCTCCTGCCCCTCGCCCTCCTCCTCCTCCTCTTCCTCCACCTCCTCCTGAACATGCGGAGGAGTGGGGGGGATCGGGGGGGGGGCGGGGAGAAGTGGGTGAAGGGAAGAGGGTAAGGTAAGGAGGAGAAGGGAAGCGAAATGAAATCTGAGACACCACCTACTAGACATGGAAGGAGGGAGAGAGGAGAAAAGGGGCGGGAGAAGGGTGATAAGAGTCCCCTCACCTCCTTAGCCGGGCTCCGAGCTCCTTCTCATCCTCCTTGTCTTCTGGCTGCATTGCCGTCGCCTCAGCAGCACACGCACACACAGAGACACACATACACCTCTGCCCACCCATCAAGCCACTCTCACCTCTACAGCCATGCAACCACGCACCCCCTCACCTCCTTAGCCGGGCTCCTCTCCTGCTCCTTCTCGTCCTCCTTGTCCCCTGGCTGCATCACCATCGCCCCACCAGCACACACACCCACAGACACCCAGACACACAGACACCACTCCTGCCCATCCCACAAGCCACCCTCACCTCTTTAACCGGGCTCCTCTCCTGCTCCTTCTCGTCCTCCTTATCCTCTGGCTGCATTGCCGTTGCCTCGTCATCATCTGAAAAGAGCTCGTCGTGCTCCCAGTCCTCGCCTGGCGGGATGAGGAGAGAGGGGAAGAAAAGAGGGGAGGGAAGGGCGTCGGAGAGTCATGGCATGGGAGAGACGGGCATGAGAGAAATGAAGAGTGCTCGCAATCCTACACAAGTGCTCCCAGTCCTCTCCTGGAGGAATTTTTGTGAGTTCTCAGAAGACTTTTGAGTCGACTCAAAAGTCTCCCAGTCCTCTCCTGGAGGCACTTTTGTGAGTTCTCAGAAGGGGGGGAGAGCAAAGGGACGAGAAGGGCACGAGTGGGATGAAGAGTGTTGGCGATCTTTGAAACGTGAACCCAGTGCGAGAGGAAAGTAAAGAGAAGGGAGGCAAAATGCTCGGTAGCACTGGGAGACGAAGTGATAGAAGGCCTCTCACTTTTGGCCCCGTCCCGTCCATCTCCAATTCAGTCTCTTCCTTTGGCACATCATCATCGTCATCATCTCCTCCCTTCTTCCTCAATAGTTTTCATCCTCAGTGCCACACAAGTCAAGACCCGCTCACTTTTAGCCCCGTCCATCTCCAATTCTGTCTCTTCCTTGGGCACTTCATCAACAGCCCCTCATCCCATGCACCCTCCCCCTCTCGTGTATTCACCGTGATACTAATAATACCACTAATGACAAAATCCTCTCACCTTTATCCCCGTCCATCTCCAATTCAAGCTCTTCCTTGGGCACCTCATCATCCTCATCACCCCCTCCCTTCTTCCTCAATAGCCTCCGTGCCATCACATACGTTTTCATCCTCAGTGCCACACATGTCAAGTCCCGCTCACCTTTATCCCCATCCATTTCCAGCTCGAACTCTTCCTTGGGCACTTCATCATCGTCATCATCCCCGCCCTTCTTCCCCTGCCCTCTCTTCCTCCCCTCCCCGTCCTCCATATCCCCCCCCATCCCCTCATCATCCGACCCTAACCCATCATCTAGCCCTCCCTTCTTCCTCCCTCCTCCCCTCCCGCCACCCCCGCCTTCCTTCCCTCCTCCGGCCAGAAGCTTCTCGGATTCTTCCTTGGTGAGCCACTTTCGAAACCCATCGGCCTTACGCCGTTTTGATTGCATGCGCACCTCTGCTTCCTCTAGGGTTAGCGTCTTGTACTGGGCTTGCTTTCCAAAGGCATACCTGGGAGGAGGGGGGAGGGGAGAGGAGGGGGAGGCGGAATAGGGAGTTTGAAGAATGGGGGTCATTGTAAGTGCTTAAGAGACTGCATGCACACCTCTGCTTCTTCTAGGGTTAGCGTCTTGTACTTGGCTTGCTTTCCAAAGGCGTACCTGGGATGGGGATGGCATGTTATAGGATGCAATGGGATGGGATGGGATGGGATGGGATGGGATGGGATGGGATGGGATGGGATGGGATGGGATGGGATGGGATGGGATGGGATGGGATGGGATGGGATGGGATGGGGATGGGATGGGATGGGATGGGATGGGATGGGGAGTAGAAGCAACGGGGGCTAAGCGGCATGACTCAGACCCTTTCCTATACAGGGGGTACAATGACAAAGACAAAGGTGGATCACACCTCACCACACCACACCGCACCACACCGCACTGCACCTCACCACACCGCACCACACCACACCTCACCACACCTCACCACTGGCTAGCGGGAATGGCGACAAACTCCTTGCCGTGCATGACCAGCAGATAATACGCCGAATGCTGCCACCCACCCTCCATGTGCCCCACATACGACGCCTGGCCCGTGTCGTCCTCTAGTAGCAGTGGTCGCGTGCGCGCCTTGGCCTGTAGTGACATGCAAGGCGGGGTGGGGGTGGGGGTGGGGTGGGGGTGATGGTGATGGTGATGGTGATGGCCATAATGAGGGTCGGATAGGCATGGCAGCATGACAGCATGAGCAGAAGGACAATAGCAGCAGTACCGTCCTAGAGTATCAACGGCCACGTGCGCACCTTGGCCTGTAGTGAGGTGCACGGGGTGGTGGGCATGGGGCATGGGGGGATGCATGGGGGCATTACACCATGCGGGAGGGACAGCAGCAGCAGTAAGTGCAACACAACTGGGTTTAAGGGGATTTTGACATAACTTGAAACATAGGGGTGGCATAAAACGACAAGAAAGCCACCTGCTCACCCGCGCAGCCTCGGACAGAACTTTCCCGGAAGATACCCCTTCTCGTTTCATCGTCCACCCCCTCTCGTCGCCTTTTTTCAGCCCGGGCAGCCCTTGCGGAAATTTCCCGATAAAATAGTCTCTGCTGACCGGCTTAACGCGGACTAGGAATTCTTTTACTAGCTTATCCACTACCGCGCCGCACTGCTGACACGTGGCTTGCTTCTCAGCCATGCTTCGACCGCACGCGTTACAGAGCGACATATGTCCACACTCGCTCTGCGAAAGGTCTCCCCCCGCCGCCCCGCACCCGCTGCACGCGGCTGGCGGAACCGCCTTTTTTGCGGAGGCGGAAGCGGAGGCGCTTCCGCCAGCTCCCCCCGCGGGGCCTGCGGCTCCCGCCGCTCCGCCTGCTGCTGCGCCGCCTGGCTCTTGCTTAACAGGCGGTTTGGCGGCTCCCGCTTGTGGTAATGATTGCGCCGGCCGGCCTGCTGATGGATACGACGCCATGAGCCGCTGCTGGCGAAGATAAGAAACGAATTTTTAGTCGACTCAAGAAACAATCGAACAAATCTGTCGCAGAGGTGTTGATTGGTCGAGGATTGTTCGAGAACCGTGGTTTTCGTGGCCTTCGAAGGTCGATTCGCGAGGGTCCACAAGGGCCAAGTCGTAAAATATATTTTCAAGGTATGTGAGTTGGGGAGAAATGCGTGGGGGGATGGTTTATGTAGGAGCAGAGCCGACTCGTTTCCCCAGATCATCACCCTAGAAGTTGGCATTCGCTCTAAGAAAAATACGGCGTCACTGAACATTCATTGGATGGAAAGAGTTCAGAATCAGACGTCAGATAGCTCCCTACCATTTAAATAACAATATAGTTTCTTGAAGCTAGTTATTCATCCAGAAAGCTACGGTATCAGTGATGTAGGTCCTAATCCAGTGCATTTGACCAATTGGTGAGTAACTAGCTAGTATTTGGATAGCATGCGGATGGCCGATCCAACGGTGGGGAACGCCTCGTGCACATTCAAAAGATCGTGGAAATCCGAGCCATCTGTGGCACCCACAAAGAGCCACTTGGATATCCTCGTTATAAACTCCTCCAGTGTGGGCGACAAGATGGCCTCCCAGTCCACCTGAACGTCAGGAGGCGGCTTGGCGGTGATCTCCTTGCCGGCAGCGAGGAAGAGACCGAGCAGGCTGGAATGGCCGGCCATGGCTGAGCCCCGAGACAGGGGAGAGAAGTTGTACCTGATGGTGGGCCATATGGTATGTAAGACGTGGGAAGGGTGAGTGATGGGAGGTGTTGAGGCGTCTGAGAGGGCGAGCAGGGTGGAATAGCCAGCTATGGCAGAGCCCCGACTGAGCGGTGAGAAGTTACACTGATGGAGGGTGGTGGTGGGAGGTTGGAAAGGTGGTGGGTGGTGGGAAAGGTGGGAGGAGGGAGGTGAGTGGGAGATGGGAAAGGTGGGTGGGAGGTAGGGGGTGGGTAAATCTCAAAACAAATGCAGGTAACATCTAGATTGACATGCGCTGTGTCAAAGGGAGCGGCCTAGGATTCACCCACCAGAAGATCACCACAGCTCTCAGTTTTGAGATGTTTCAGCCGAGCAGCCACCAGTAGGATGACACCACCAGTAGATCTTTAAGATGTTTAAGATATAAGGTACCCACCAGTAGTAAACGACGCGCAGAGTGGCGGTCTTCACCAGCTTGTCATCCTTGCTGCTTGTACGGGGGCAGCCTAGGGGTCACCTACCAGCCTAGGGGTTACCTACCAGCCTAGGGGTTACCTACCAGCCTAGGGGTTACCTACCAGCCTAGGGGTTACCTACCAGCCTAGGGGTTACCTACCAGCCTAGGGGTTACCTACCAGCCTAGGGGTTACCTACCAGCCTAGGGGTTACCTACCAGCCTAGGGGTTACCAGCCTAGGGGGTACCCACCAGTAGTAGACGACACGCAGAATGGCGGTCTTCACGAGCTTGTCGTCCTTGCTCTTCTTGGCGTCTGCCATCACCTCACACAGGTTCTGGTGGGATGGGTGGGGGAGGGAAAGGGGGAATGCGGGTTATCGAGAGGTTTGTAAGGCAGTTGTGCGTCCGTTCTTCACGAGCTTGTCGTCCTTGCTCTTCTTGGCATCTGCCATTACCTCACACAGGTTCTGTGGGAATGGAGGGGTGGGTGTTGGGTGGGGAAGAGGAGAGGGGGGCGTGTCAGAGAGAGACTGGTCCTTGCTCTTCTTGGCGTCTGCCATCACCTCACACAGGTTCTGGTGGGATGGAGTGTTTGTTTCTTTGTTTGTTTCTTTGTTTGTTTTGGTGTGTGTGTGTGTGTGTGTGTGTGTGTGTGTGTGTGTGTGTGTGTGTGTGTGTGTGTGTGTGTGTGTGTGTGTGTGTGTGTGTGTGTGTGTGTGTGTGTGTGTGGGTGTAGTTACGTGGTTACACCTTCACATGTTACATGGTTACCACTGCTGTTACCATGTTACACCCCCTCACTTTCCACGCGGCAGTGAGCTCAGCATCGTACTCCTTCAATCGGGAGGGCGTGAGGGGCATGTCACCATGGCACACTGCGGTTACCACGTTACGTTGCTGCTACCACAGTCCTCACCTTCCATGCAGCAGTGAGCTCAGCGTCATACTCCTTCCATCGGGGGGGCGTGAGGGGCATCTTGATGGCAAAGTCAAACGCCCCATCTCCTCTGCACAATGCAGCAACCATGTAGCAAGGTTGAGTGTCTAGGGTTTAGGGGAGCTGCAAATGCAAAGGGTAGTGTTTTGAGACGAACTACTTTTGAGTTGAGACGAGGGAATGGGTGCAGGGGGAATGGTGACAGAGACTGGTGGAGTGACAGTAATCCGGACCGCTGCGAGAGTATGACTGGATTCGTTATAGAGCACTCCAATAAACGAATCTCATCTAGGAGGAAAGCTCTTGTCTGTCAGACGTGGTGAGCATGTGAGTACCTAGCGAAGCAAAGGAGGAATGGGTGGGCCTTACAGCTTTCGGACGGCAAGGGTTGTCCCGTTCAGCATGTAGCTGCGCACAGAAGGGGCGTTGGGAGAAGGGGAGGAGAGGGGGTGGGCAAAGTGGGGGAGCAAGATGAAGCAGGGTGACTTTAGTCCTCATAAGGTCTTTCGGATGGCGAGGGTTGTCCCGTTGAGCATGTAGCTGCAGACAGAAGGGGAATTGGGGCAAAAGGGGGCGAAGGGGGAAATGGGGGGGAGCAGGGGCGAAATGGAGGGAGGGGCACATAGAGAGAGGGGGAGACAGATAGGAACAACTGGGTAGAGGGAAGGAGGTGAGGGGAAGATCCGAGGAAGACAAGCTACCATGAGAAGGTGAATGCGGGGAGTGTGCTGAGCGTGCGAGAGACGGAGGCAGTAAGGGTAAAGGATGGGGATGCGCATTGCGCACCAAGAAAGGAAGGAAAGGGGGAAAGGATGTAGGGATGCAGCCAGGACAACTGCGGGGTGGCAGATGTAATGGGACGGACGAGGGAAGAAAACGGTGCAGTAAGGGTGTGGGAATGGTGGGGGAAGGGTGGAGGAGGGGGAGGGAGTCCGGGAGGAAGGCAGAACGAGGTGAAATGAGTGAGTTTCGAAGGGGGGAGGGGGAAGGGGGGGAGAGGGGGCAGACTCACTCAGGCTGGGCGGTGGAGAAGCAGGGCACAGTGATGAGGAAGTTCTGCCCCACCACGTTCCACAGCTCCTCTGGTGTCTCTGCCGCCTCCACCTGCACAGGGAAGGGAGGGAAGAGTGGGAAGGGAGGGATCGCACAAGCAGAGGAGGGACAGGGACACAGTGACAAGGAAGCTCGTGTGACCGACCATGTCTTATAACATAATAGCACTTCCAATGCCACAGCTAGAGGGAGGGAGAAAGAAGCAGGCACGGCAACAAGAAAGCTCCACTGCCCCACCACGTTCCACAGCTGCTCCGGTGTCTCCAATCCCCTCACCTCAGCTCACTCAGCATTCACACCACATGGCATACCCCTGTATATGAGCACACCCCCTTCCCTCACCTCAGCGTCCATCTCAACGGGAATCTCGTATTTCTGTGTGAGGTCGCCGATCTCCACTGCCCCCTGCTCCAGCATCTCGTCCCTGATCAGTGCGAAGGCCCTGCAGGGAAGAGTTGTGGGGGAGGAGAGCAGAGGCAAGTGAAATGAAGGTCGCACGAGGCATGCATGGAATGTACAGGGCTACTCCCCCGTGTTCAAGATTCTCGCCCTTGATCAGTGCAATGGAAGTCACCACTGCCCTGCCTACCTCTCACCAACCCACCTGTCGTAGTTGGCATAGTAGCGAAGGTTCTTGGAGTGCCCCTGCACCATTGCTGTGACAGCACCAAAGCCCTTCTCAAATTCCTCCTGGCTGCGAGCACCATGTGAGGAGCAGATGAGAAGCAGATGAGGAGCAAGGAGGAGAAAAGCACATGAGAAGAAGCACAGAGAGAGACACACAGTGGTGTGTGCGGGCCTTGGCGGGTTAAGTCCAGCAATGAGACACACAGACACAGACACAGTCACACAGAGACGCATTGTGGGCCTTGGACGGTGTGTGTGGCCTTAAGCTGCTGTTCAACAGTACCACCATTCGCTCATGTGTTACACAGCCGGTAAGTTGAGCGATCTCCAACAGCAGAGCACGATCACCAACCGCACAGCACCGTCACCAAGCGCACAGTCACACTCACGTGAGCTGGTCGACCCACACGATGGGGTCACAGGGCTCTGACAGCAGGCGCCAGCGCACCGCAATGGAGTACAGGTCCCTCCACCCGCCCACCGTCACCCCCCCCTCCTCCTCCTCATCCTCGTCCTCATCCTCCTCCTCATCGTCGTCATAATCGTCATAGTGGTCGCTCCGCCTGCTGCTGCTGCGCCCCTTGCTGCTGCTGCCGCCCTTGCCCTGCTGCTTGCTCGCTGCTGCTACCTGCTCGCGCCACGTGGCCTGTGCTGCCTGCATCATCTCCAGTGCTGCCATGCCCGCTGCGCGGTGCTGGGGTGGATGGAGCGGTGGAGAAGGGTGGAGAGGGGTGGAGAAGGATGGAAAAAAAGAGCAAGAGAGACAGGGGGACAGGGGGGGAAGTCTCTCCACCTGGCCTGTGCTGCCTGCATCATCTCCAGTGCTGCCATGCCTTTTGCGCGGTGCTGTTTTATGTTAAACGGTGGAGAAGGGTGGAGAAGGGCGGAGAAGGGTGGAGAAGGGCCAGGGGAAGACATGGGAAGAAGCGGGAATGTATCTTGTGCAGCGCCTTTATCATTCCCAGTGCTGCCATGCAGAGTCACCAAGACGACATATCTCTGGTTGAGCAAAAGCCGAGCCTATCTGGCTCTGATTGGTCAGAAGCCGAGAGTTCCTGTCTCTGGTTCGGCAGAATCCGAGCCTACCTGTCTCTGGTTGGGCAGGAAGCCGGGGGAAGTGTACTGAGTGCGGCCGCCCATGGTGTCTGCCGCCTTGACGAGCTCCTTCCTGCCCCGCTTCACCTGCTCACTCATTTGCCTGATGTGACATGATATGATGTGATGTGTGGTGCATGCATATGAGGTATCATGCACGGTGCATGATGCATGGCATGTGCACGTGATGTACCACACATATCATGTGTCAGTGCATGCATGCAATGCAAGCGCGCATGCATGCACACACACACATGCACAAACACATTCAGACAAACATACACACACACACAGGAGCAGCAGCAGAATTTGGAGCTCATTCAGTTGTCGGATACCCTTCGGTACAGATGCAGGGGGTGGGGCGGAAAGAGGCGCCTTGCTGTGCATACCTCTTACATCCCGCTCTCACATCCCCCTCTCACTCACCCCCCTGTCCCATCTCTTATCCCGTCTCTAATTCCCCTCTCACCCACCTCTCTGGTTTCAACTGGTTGTCGAACGCTGCCCGGTATGGCTGGGGCCGGTAGGCTGGGAAGAGGTCCGTGGGCACGGATCGGCGCGCCCAGGCTTGCTGCGAGGGGCAGTGGTAGAGGTGGTGAGGGGTGGAGGAGGAGAAGGAGGAAATGTAAGAAGAACAAGCAGATGCTAGTTGGCATGAGCTCCCCGTGGCCATCAAGCCCCTCCTCTTGGTAATATCTCTTTGTGAAAGAGAAATTAAGAAGAAAGAAAAAACATTTTTTTTTTTTTTTTTTAAGATGAGCCAAGCTGAAACCTCGTAGCTCCACCTCAGCTTTTGCCAAGCTGAGCTGAAACGTCAAGCCCACCGCACAGCTCAAGTTCAAGCCTACCCTGAGCTGAACTTGGGCACAAAGTTGCCTTGAACTTTGAAGTTAATTCCCTTGGGAGTCGATTAAAAAACTTGGCTTCTGGCAAGCTGAGAGCGCAAGCCTACCTTGAACTCCGGTGTGAAGTTGTCTTCAAAGTCAAATAGCATTTGAAATGAAACGACTCAATACCTCAGCTTCTGCCGAGCTGACACGACAAGCCTACCTTGAACTCGGGCGTGAAGTTGTCTTCAAAGTCAAAGTTGCGGAGCGGCTTGTTGAGGCGAGAAGCTGTGAACTGCGCCACCTCCCTCTGTGCATGCGAGTGAAAGGGTGGGAGGGAGAGGATGGGAGAGAGAGGGTGGGAGAGAGTGATAGATGCATGGAGAGGGTGAGTGAGAAGGAGAGACTTGTTGAGGCGAGAAGCTGTGAACTGCGCCACCGAGGCATGCAAAGCAATAGAGGGAAGGTGCGATGCGAGAGGGATGAACTCTTGCACGCGATGCAGTTTGTCGTGCGGGACGATGAGATGGAATAGCCATACCAGAAACCTCCCTGTGGGGACCAGATGAGCCCACCTGGTAGCACAAGTTCTAGGGAGTGTAAGAGTGCTGAGGGGAGCTCACCTGATAGAATGCCATGAAGAGCAAGGGCTGCTCCTCCTGCCGTGTGGGCTTGGACAACAGAGCATCGTATGTCGTCACCTGGTGGTGTGAGGGTGGGGGAGAAGTGGGTTAGGGGCGCTTTGGTCATGTGGGTGGTTACCAGCTTGCAGTGTGGGCTTGGACAACAGAGCATCGCATGTCACCACCTGGTGGTGTGAGGAGCGGGAAGGAGTTGGGAAGGGCGGGGAGGAAGGAGGGAAGGCGAGATACTGGTGCGGAGCCGGAGCGTAATTTCCATCCACCAATGAGAGCATGAGCATGACATGCAGCATGCATCCTCTCTCCACCCTCTCACTGTGTCCTGCAGCTGCCCCAGCGCGTGGTGGCATGACCCCTTGATGTAGTGCCCCTCCACACTCAAGGGTTTCGGGTTAAGGTTGAGAGAGCATCACAAGCAGGATGTTTCCACTCACCGCGTCTTGCAGCTGCCCCAGGGCGTGGTGGCACGACCCCTTGATGTAGTGCCCCTCCACGTTGATTAGGCTTCAAGGTTTGAGGCTTGAGCTTAAGAGCATCACATGCAGTACGCATCCACTCACCGCATCCTGCAGCTGCCCCAGCGCGTGGTGGCACGAACGACCCCTTGAGCGGGTTTGGTAACAGGTTTTGGGTTGAAAGTGTGTTTGGTAACAGGTTTTGGGTTCAAAGTGTGTTTGGTAACAGGTTTTGGGTTCAAAGTGTCGCATGCAACATGCATCGCATGCAGCATGCTTCCTCTCACCGCGTCCTGCAGCTGCCCCAGCGCATGGTGGCACGACCCCTTGATGTAGTGCCCCTCCACTTCACATTCAAGGCTCAGGGTTTAGGGAAGCTTAGGTTGCGAGCATCACATGAAGCATGTTTCCACTCACTGCGTCTTGCAGCTGCCCCAGGGCGTGGTGGCATGACCCCTTGATGTAGTGCCCCTCCACGTTCTCCGGCTCGAGCTGCATTGCCACGCGCACCAGCTCCAGTGCATGTCTGGATGCAGTGTTAGTGGGAAGGAAGAAGGAGTAAACGGGAAGAGGAGGAACAAGAGGATCAAAGAGGAGGGAGTAGTGGACAGCTCCAGCTTGAGAGCACTGCAGTTTCCCGTTAATTTGGCTTACTCGACTGGCTATGGCTATATTATCATGACTTGGGAAATTTGAGCCCAAGGCGGCTGTGAGCTGATGTGCATGTTTGGAGTATGGGTGGGATGGCAGGGCACGAACTCACTTGTGGTCGCCCATGGCGTGCTTGAGCAGCGCCCACACGCGGTACCAGTCACCTGTGGGCGAGCCTGGAGCGGTGGTATGCATCTGAGGTCGGTGCAGAGGTTACGGAGAAGGTATGGTTGGGTTGGGAAGACAGGGAACTCACTTGTGGTCGCCCATGGCGTGCTTGAGCAGCGCCCACACGCGGTACGCTTGGGCGAACCTGGGAGGAGAGGGAACGGGGGCATGGGGCCATGGATCGAGGCATGAGGCATGGAGGCATGGAAGTATGGAGGAATGGGAGGGGGTTTGGAGGCAGAGACTACAGCTGACGAGATCCCTTGCTAACCTGGGCTCTAGCTGGGTAGCCTTCCGGTAGGCCTGCTCAGCCCTGTCAGGCATGGCCAGCTCCTTGCCTGCCTGCCCCATGTACAGCCACGCCATCCATGCCATTGCTGCACTGCACCCATGCCATTCATTCAAAGACCCTTCTAAACCGACTCCAACCCCACTTCACCACACTCACCTGGGCTCCAGCTGCGTGGCCTTCTTGTAAGCCTGCTCCGCCCTGTCAGGCATGGCCAGCTCCTTGGCAGCCTGCCCCATGTACAGCCACACCATAGATGTCATTGCTGCACCCATGCCATGCAAACACCCTCTAAACCGACTCCAACCCCACTTCACCGCACTCACCTGGGCTCCAGCTGAGTGGCCTTCTTGTAAGCCTGCTCCGCCCTGTCAGGCATGGCCAGCTCCTTAGCTGCCTGCCCCATGTACACCCACGCCATCCTGTTGCCGGGGTTTGTTGCCACAACCTTCTCGTATATCTCCATCGCCTCCTCCGTTTCGCCCAGCCCCACCAGGGACTCCGCCTGCAAGGAGTGGGTGCAAAGCGGGGTGGAGGGGGAGAACAGAGTGCATCTGATGTGGACGCTCCTTCTGTTGCCCGGGTTACCTGCCACAACCCTCTCACATATCTCCATCGCCTCCTCTGTCTCTCCCAGCCCCACCAGGGACTCCGCCTGCAATGCAAGGGATGCATGCAAGCAAAGAGGGGCACCGTATGAGAGTGCAGCCCGTCTCACCAGCAAAGCCGGACGACCATCAGCCACTGAAGCACCCAGCAGAGCAATGTGTGTGAGCTCCTCGTTGGGCATCACCACCACCACTAACCCCAGGCCCCGCCCATGGGAGTGCAGCAGGCGCAAAGCAGCAGTGCAGCAGGCACCGCGTGAGAGTGCAGTGCAGCTATGTATGTTCCACCCCAAAGAACAAGATCCGAGCTTATGTTTCCCACCCACCAGAGCAACGTGAGCGAGCTCCTCCTTGGGCATCACGGCCACCACCGCCCTCAGGTCCTTGGCTGCTTTGAACTTCACTCTCGGCAGTGCAGCAGGCACAGTTCAAGTGTGCACCTCTCCTCAACTCTTATGTTCACATTACACCCACCAGAGCGACGTGTGCGAGCTCCTCCTTGGGCATCACAGCCACCACCGCCCTCAGGTCCTTGGCTGCCTCGTAGAAGCGCCGTGCCCTGGCGAACACCATGCCTGGCGGGCGGTGAGCAGAGGCAGAGAGGGAATGAGACTGCTGGGAACCAGAGAAGGAAACAGAGAACACGTGTGTGGCAGGCTGCAGAGTTTTCACAAGAGGACGTATCATGCCACATGGTCACATCACAAGCACAAGCCATTTCCACACCCCTTCCCTGCCCACACCCCTTCCTTCCCCGTTTTCCGACTCACCTCACTCACTCCATCAGCAGGTCCATCTGCCCCACCCATACCCCTCCCTCCCCTCCCCTCCCATCCTTGTCGCCTCACCTCGCTCCATCAGCAGGTCCATCTGCCCCTTCTCCAGGCTGAGCGCCGCGGTGAAGTCCTCGATGGCCTAACGGGATGAAGGGTGGAGGGGAGACGCATGAAGGGAGGGAAGCAAAAGGAGGATGTTACAGGGAAATCTATCAAACACCCAGCAGACCCCCATTTTCTGCTGTTCTGCCCCTTCTCCGGGCTGAGCGCAGTGGCGAACCTCTTGATGGCCTGATGAGCAGCGCAGGTGGCAGAACTACCCGCCAGGCCTGCCGGTGGGTGAAAAAAACAGGAAGACGGTTGTTGAATATGTATCGACCCCAAACTAGCACGCGAAGTATCGACTCACCCTCTCATCCCCACATTCCAGCAGCATCAACTCACCTAAACCCCAGAGTCCAACAGTATCAACTTACCCTACCTAACCCTAATCAGCAGAATCAGCTAACCCGAAATCCCAGACTCTGAGCAGCATCAAGCGACCCTTAACACTAAACCCAACCAGTTACCAACTCACCCCATCCACTTCCCCTATGGCTGCTCGGGCCTGGGCCCTCCTGCGCCATGCGTCCACCATCTTGGGCTCCAGCTCGCATGCCTGGTGTAGGGGTAAGAGGGGAAGGGAGACAGGGGGAAGAAGGGAGTGTTGAGGCGCCTCATAAGTGCCCTGGGCCCTCCTGCGCCACGCGTCCACCATCTTGGGCTCCAACTCACACGCCTGGCGTGGGGGAAACAACGTGGGATGGAAGACGGGGGGGAAGGGGGGAGGGGGAAGGGAGTGTTGGGGCGCCTCACAAGTGGCATGGGTTGTTCTGCGTCACTTGCCCCCGTCCACCCATCCTGGGCTCCAGCATCCACACCTGAGGAGGCATGGAAGAAGACAGAGAGGGGTGAAGAGGAAGAGAGGATGGAGACAGGAGAGCGATGGTGATGGCTGCGGAATGAGGCACAGGAACGAGCGGGGTGGGCAGGGTCTAGGGTTTAGGCGGAGCACGAGAAAGAAAACGAGTGAATGAAAAGAGAGCAGATTTCCGTGGAAAGGACACCCACCAGGGAGTGATCTTTCTTGAAGACTTTAATTGATCTCCTTCGTGAGAGTTGGCCATAGGCGGTTCTTGAGCATTCAATCTAACCACCACCAGAAAGTAACCATACAAGGCGTTGCTGATCTTACCTGCGAGCGTATAGGTGGTGCCTCAACCAATTACCACGAGAAGCTTTGTGCCTCGACCAATGAGAGCCGGCGCACTGTTGCCCAGCTCGTCTAAAAGCTGCAGAGCGAGGGGGAGGGAGGGGTACGGGGAAAGGGGAAGGGTGGGGGGAAGCAAAGCGGAGCGGGTGGTAGAGCGCCTAAGTGGTGCGGCTGGTGCCTTGAGCAATGGGAGCCGGCGCACCGTTGCCCAGCTCGTCTATGAGCTGGCGGGGGAAGGGAGTCGGGGAGGCGGGGGAAGATATATGGTGGTGGGAATGAGTTAGGGGAATGATTTAAAGCGGAAATGAGTTAGGGGGAATGATTTAGGGGGGGAATGAGTTAAGGGGGTAATGAGTTACGGGGAATGAGTTATTGGGGGAGGGGGAGGAGGAAGGGAGGTGGGACGGGGGCTAAAATAGGAGTTGTTCCTTCAAGGCATACAGGCTCAAAGAATGGAACGAGGACAGATCTTGTGGGTGGGTATCCAAGTGGCGAGTGCGCAAACGTGGGATGCTGGATGTCATAGCAGAATGTCGGTTTAAGAGCAGAGGAGACGCGTTTTACATCGTCCTACCAGGGTGCAGTGATTCTCCTCACGGAGCAAAGTGCGAGCGTCTCCCTCATACCAGAGTGCAAGTCACTTCACTTTCTCGTACCAGAGTGAAGGTGTTGATGGCCTCGTCGAACTTCTGCTGGTTGACCTGCTGCACGCCCAGGTTGATCATCACTTCGTTGAACTGCCGCGTCATCACGTTCCCGCCCCCTCCAGGGGGCATCATCGTCCCCCTGTTGCCCTTCTTCTTCGGCTGCTGGTCCAGCGCCGTTGGCGGAGCGACGAGGGGGACGAAGAAGGGCAGCGGGGGGAGCAGCGCGCGGCGCAGGCAGAGGGAGAGGCGGGACTCGTCCGCCACGGGGAGCGGGGGAACTGGGTTGCGCAGCATTACGGAGTCGGGCTGGGACATGGGCGCGCCCATGGGGAACAGGCGCGCGCCTGAGCGGAAAGGGAGAGCGGAAGTGAGTTTCGGTGGAAAAAGTCGGAAAAGCGCGTGAATATTCCTAGGCTTGCGACTAAAAACATGTCATTAAAGGATTTGTCCAACTTATGCGTGAAGATGCATTGAAGAAAATAGATGAGACAAGTTAATATGGGGATCAGTACAGCGGGGAGCTTACCGCGCTTCAGGAGCACCTCCCCGCACAGCGCATCACGGAGAAACGCCTGACCGGCCGGATTGCCGTCAGGGTCGCTCGCGAACGATCGGCGAAATCTGTTCTTGATTCGCGGGAAGTTGTAACAGAAGTTGTCATTACTGCGAGCGGCAAACGATGGACATTCGTCAACATTGACGTCAGCCAGAGCGAGTTTCTTTTTATTACAAAGCGAAGCAGGTCACGGTATGAATTGGGTTGACACAGAAATAGTGCGAAGCCTTGCAATGCAGGTACAGGAATGTTGGAAAAATCATGGAATATGACAATGACCAACGACCAGGGCCGGAATGGGGAGGAAGGCAGCAGATAGTTGAAGCAATGCGAGGTGGCCTTCTAAGACTCACGACGGATGCGACGGCTAGAAATGCGGTGGATTGCAGGACAATGCGCGAAAATGTGCCAGCTGGACGCGGTCAGTCGAGCACGCACCAGAAAATGCGGGTCATGCTGTAATGCTCCTGCACGGCGCTCGCGACCACGGCGACGGTGCGCGACAACTCCGAGGAGTCGCATCCCCTGCGGGTCGGCGTGACTCCAGCGCGTGTGCTTATAGCGGGCATGAGGAGCGTGGTGGGGGAAAACGGCAGCACGGAACAGAGGGTGAAGTTGAAAGCGAGGCATACGAAGGCCTCGGTTACCCCCATTTTGACAAAACGTCAAGATCCTCTACAGAAATCTTAATCAATGTCTGCAGAAGTCGGTCAGTCTGACATTGCTACGGCCCGCCAAAGTAGGTCCAGGCTTCTATTTCGGTCCTGGAGATGGAAATTATCGTTAGGGCTGCCTGTGCAGGCTCACTCAATCCCTTGGGAGGAGGAAATGCTGATTTCGTTGCAGATGAATCTTGGGGACTCCTATCCTATCTCTCCTCCACCCTCTCTCTTGACTCGGCCAGAGTGACAAAGGCGAGATGATGGTCCAGCTCCTGGGACCTTGACCAGCTTTCATGTAATGACCCCGTTGAGTGTTGACCAGACATATATTTGTGATCCACAATAATAATGTCATCCTTGCTCATATGAAACTTTACAAATCATATATTTGGTCACACCAACATAGCCCTTGTGACCAGGCATTCTCATGTGAGCGTGTTCGAACTGCCAAACTGTACTCGGCCAGCATTGAGTTTTAGATTTCGGAATACGTAACCTCCTAATTTACGCCAATATATCATCTAGTTTCTGCATGCAAGGAGACGTACATGCGATGTATCATATAATTGAATCTACCGAAACATTATAGTAAATGTAAATCGTACATCCATGCACTTGATATTTTCTACCTTTCCTATACCAAAGTTGAGTTGTTGTATAGGCAGTGATTGAAAATGGTGGCGAAGAGTTGCTGACTCAATGCATGAGAACTGTTGCTCTCTGATCGTGGCTGCCACGATCGCTATTCGGCCCCAGAATCTGGGCGAGCCAAGGTGCGCTGGATCTGCCGCACAGTGCCAGGTCACATTGGACCTGTCACAGAGCCACGGTGGCATGGGCGGGAGAAAAGGGCTTACGGGAAGGTGTGCAGCATATTCGCATTCAATACGTCACGGTTCTGCTCGGTTGGTTGCACCATAAGCAAACTCTCCTAAGAACCGTGTCGAATCGAGATTAACCTTATTGAACCCCATGCGATGAGCACAAAGCAAATGTGATTGACATTACTCCCCTCAGGAGCGAAGCAGTTGCGGTGGGCAATGGGAGGGAAGCGGAGATGTCTGGTTGATAAACAGATTCTCCTTCTCGTTCTGAAACAATTCTAGCTTCTGAATCTCTGCACACGTCGCTTACCAGTTCTTGTCACCAGTCTTCGCCACCACTCTTCGTCTCTGTCTTCCAAGGTTTTCCTCCGACCTTTTTTCATATCCAATCATAACTATGGGTCGTAAGTTCATCGTCGGAGGCAACTGGAAGTGCGTAAGTATCCGTCCATTGCTGCTGACATGTAGACTCGTCAGATCCGGATGCTGAGTTTACCATCCTCGGACCATTTCGCAGAATGGCACCCAGGAGTCTATCAAGAAGCTTGTTGGCGTGCTCAACGGCGCTACTGTTCCCAGTGGCGATGTTGTCGGTATGTGCTGTCCAATCCCTAAGAACAGTAAATAAAGGCCGTCCTCATGTTCCTTCAAACTGCATGCGCGTCGATGTTTTGGAAGCCTTTTCACCATCATTGTTTTCACCTTCATTCTCTGACATTCTCTCCTTCATTGCCGGTGGATACGTTGCTTCATCTCTTCCAGAAGTCGTCATCGCTCCTCCCGCCATCTACATTCCTCTCGTGAAGGCCGAGCTGCGCAAGGATTTCGCCGTTTCCGCTCAGAACGCCTGGGTCAGCAAGGGCGGTGCTTTCACCGGTGAAGTGAGGTATGTCGCCACCCTGTTTCCACCCTGCTTTGGTTGCAAGCAATCTCCGTATTCTGCGTCTGAGATGTCAGAAGCTAATCTGGAATGTGGACCTCCTGACATGTCGTCCTCTATGCCTTTTCAGTGCTGACATGCTTGTGGATCTCGACATTCCCTGGGTCATCCTTGGCCACTCCGAGCGGAGAACCATCATCAAGGAATCCAACGAGGTCAGCCTCCCTGCTTCTCCACACATGTCTTCCTTCCTGTAACCTGCTTATTCCGTTCTTGGTGCCTGTTGATGATACTTATCTCACGATTTCCTCTTGATTTCTTGCTTGATCACGTGCAGTTCGTCGCGGACAAGGTCGCGTACGCTCTGGGCAAGGGCCTCAAGGTGATCGCATGCATCGGCGAGTCTCTGGAGCAGCGGGAGAGCGGCGAGACTGTCGCCGTCGTCTCTGCTCAAGTCAAAGCCATTGCAGGTCCGTGTGCTGCGTGCTCGCTTTATGTGCATTCCTGTCTGCATTGTTATTCATCCGCGTCGTACCCCTGCGTGGGATCGTTTGTTTCTTCGCGTAGTTTGGGGTCGGTCTCCTGTAGCAGTGATCTTAAATTGTTTTTTCCTATGCAGACAAGATCACCAAGTGGGACGATGTCGTTCTCGCGTATGAGCCCATCTGGGCCATTGGTACCGGCAAGGTCGCCACGCCTGCTCAAGCCCAGGAGGTGAGTGCTGCTCTCTGTCCCAGAAAGTTCAGTAGACAACTGATACTTAAGAATCAAACATTCTATTCAAAGCAATAGAACTGAACTGTATGGTAATCACCCTGTCCTCGTAACGTTTATGCTTGCAGACGCATGCTGACATCCGCAAGTACGTCGCTGAGAACGTCAGCGCTGATGTGGCAGCTGCTATCCGGATTCAATATGGAGGTGAGGGGGTATTTGACGTGAGCATGGGGGCACGACTGGTATTTGACATGACCATGGGGGCATGACTGGTATTTGACGTGAGCATGGGGGCGTGGCTGGTATTTGGCGTGCTTCTCATAGTTGTGGAATGCTTTTATGATTTACTTTTCTTTTCCTGCATTAGCGTTTGTGCAAATGGTCCACTTGATACGACCTTTGCATGGCTAACATACAAGGTCACCTCGAACTTATACGCTACCGTTTTCCTTCTTATATCTATGATCCACAGGCTCTGTGAACGCTGCTAACTGCAAAGAGCTCGCTGCTCTTCCTGATGTCGATGGCTTCCTTGTTGGTGGAGCTGCTCTCAAGGTATGTAACTTGTGTGTCAGTTGCACTCACAGATTAGCTTCCGTTTTACCCCAGCTTTATCTACCATAACTCATCTCATGTCTTCCTCGAAAGCATAGCTAACTCTTCCATTTCTGTTTCCTTTTGCAGCCTGAGTTTGTTGACATCATCAACTCTGCCACTTCTTCGTCGTAGATGCATATGTATTATTTGAATACAGCAAGCAATAGACCAGGAACACAATGTAATCTACCAGCTGATGATGGAGCTTAACGTTTCTATTGATTCTGTTGGTGCGAGCGATAAAAAATATGGAGCTGAAACCTTCTCCCTAACATTCTCCTTTTGGCTACCTCCTCCATTCTACCGGTAGTAGGTACTGTGTCACCATTTTATTGTTGCTCGACAACATAAACAGTTCTGGACCATCCGCGTGAGAAAATAAATATGTTTTAGAGCTAGCATCCAATTTTCACTGAATGTAGGGTACACTCAGGACGCGTCACAACTTCAAACATCGATTCTGCGGGGCAACGATGTGTGAGTGTACAGTAGATGTGCGAATTCGCGAATTCTAGGGTATCCTTTTTTTCGTTAGCTTCCGCGTAAGCTCATGTCACAATAAGATCGTTCGTTATCGAACCGCCACCGCACTGAAATCCCGGTTCAAGCATTCACAACGCTCAGAAACAGTAAGAACTCCGTCAAACATGGATCCTCCAGGGAGATCGTGTCCCACGCTGGTTGAAACCTGGCTGTGGCGATCGATGCTCACAATTTCGGTGTTCGTGTCAAATGTTATTATAGGTTCTTAGGCTACAGTGAGTAGCACTCTAGGGAGTACAACACTTTTAGGGTTGCTATTTGTATCCCTTGTTTCCCTAGTTCACACATTCCGTTGCATTCCTACTTTGAGATGGTATCACGAGTAGGTTAGTTACTCGTTACTTCCTAGCCCGCGCCCTCTCTAGCGCACCTCCGCGCCCTCCACGCCTTAGGCTTCGTGCCCTCCGCACCCTCTCCGCGCCCTAGCGCCCTCCTCCTCCGCGCGTCAGCGCCCCTCCGCGCCCCTAGCCCGTGTTTTCAGCCCGCGCGCCTTAGCGCCCTCCGCGCCCCTAGCCCGCGCCGTCGCGGACCTCCGC